AACTTCCACGTTCAGTGCGAGAGCAAGCTCTATGTGATGCAGGGGGTGGTGGTCTCGAGGGCGGCGCTCGCCGAGATGACCCACACCCAAGAGTCAGCTGCTCCGCTGCCGTTCGGCCCGCCCGCTCTTTCTCAGGGGGCTGGCGGCGGTCAGCTCTGACACTGCTGTTCCGGAGGGAGGCCTCGCAGATTGCCGTTCGCCGTCGCAACCGGGCGGAGATGGAATCCCGGGCGCTCGCCCGCCCACCTGCTCAGCCGGTGGACTACGATCAGAACGAGGAGGAGGGCACCCGCGGGCACATGATCGATGCCGCCAGGGACTGCTCGGCAAGATCGCTCCTTCGCCCGCTCGACGGCGAAGCTCACGCCGGCACAGTTCGCCGAGCTGGCCGAGTCGTACCACAACCCTGGTGGTCACGCTGCTTCTTCGGCGGCTCAGTCTTCCACGGTTGTGGTCGAAGAGGCCGAGCCGGAGAACTTGCTGGCTCCAGCAGGAGAGCCGACCTCGTTCAGGCCGCACCGCACGCCATGGTCGAGGTCGATCGCAGAGGTGTTCACCCATTTTGATCTCTTCGAGATGATCGCCGCCATGCAGACGCAGGAATCCAAGGAAAACTTGGAAGACGACGACGACGACGAGTTGCTCTTCTTCAAAGAGGATGGATCAGTGGAACGCAGGGATCCAAAATCGTCCCCGGACGATTTCTTACTCTTCTTCAACGAAGATGGATCTACGGTGCGCCGGGAGCTTTTCAAAGACGAGACTCTCAGTTGCAAGCTGAACTCATAATGGCTACGTTGCCTTTGTTGACCGTCACTTCGTGTGTCTGTCCACTCGGGTCACTGCAGGCCAAGTGCTGACCCCGAAAAGGCATCCTCGTCGTCAGCGCAACCCAGGCCTGTAGTGCATACAGGTGATTTCGATCAACATGGCGGCAGTCATTTGGCATCTTCAATTAACCGTATACCTCAGGAACCCTGAATCCCTAAAACCTCGAAACGACCCTAAACCCTAAATAACCCAGCTTCCGAAGGCCGGAGATCATGCAGCCGTCCACGGCATCATCGTCAGAGAGCAGGCACATAGCAGGTTTGACAAGTTGGACTTGGCATGGGTTGTGCTCCGGGCAGGTCCGCCGTGCCGGGGGAGATCACGGTGCAATCCCTTAGGCAGGCATGGAATCCGACCGTGTGGCTTCTTATGTTGAGTGCCTTGTGCAGTGCAGGAACAATATCCTCTCGTCGCTGTCGGGCAAAACACTGCCAGGAGATTCGCCAGGGCATGGATGCAGAAGTCCCCGAACCCGTGCTTCCGCTTAACCAGCGACGGCTAGCCGCACGCACCAAGGCGGCGGCACTGCGGATCACGGCCCGCGTTACCTGATAAAGCCTCACAAGAGACAGGGCAAAACTACGTTTGGGTTGGTGAAGAGGGTCAAAGACTCGGGGAACAAGTCGGTCGACAAGCAGCTGGTGCAGTGCCGCGACAGGGATGTTGTGGAGGTCGCCATGGGTCAGCTGCAGAAGAAAGAAATCACGGAGGAGGAGGCCGTCCAGACTGTGAACAACCACAAGCTTCAAGCTCCCTGAGCCGGCCCTGGAATCCAGGGCCCGCGGTTTGTATCATCATGGATGGAAACAGCTCCCGGACGGGAACCGGTGTGTATTATGATGGGTGGAAACTGCTAAGCTCGGCCCCTTTTCAGGGAAGCCGACGTGCCTCATGAGCCCGGCCCCTTTTCAGGAAAGCCGACGTGCAGCATGAGAAAAGGCACATTGCATGTGAACCAAATAAATCTGCAGGCATGCTTCCACTCCATGCTTTCCATGTGCGAGACAGGACAAACTTCGTTGCTGTTTTGTAGGCCGTGCCCTCGATGATGATTTGGAGCAGCGGCTGGGATGCCGAAGACAATCCGCTCTGTGCCCCGGGCTATGCCATGCTTCATGTTTCTTGATTCACATATAATACTTGCTAAACTCTCCATCATCGCAGTGGATCAAAGGCTTAATTAGAATCATGTCCCAAAGAATCACACCCTCCAAGGAAACTGTGCACATGCATGACCATTATGCCAACCCGCCAAAAGATGTTTAGATAGAAGCATATGTTCAAGATCATTGTCGTGGAATGATGAGTTGTTTTGACTTTGCACCGATCACAACTGCCATGATGGCTGGCCCTGCTGAGCTCAACTATACACCTAATCTTGTGGCCGTGGAACATTTTATGAAACGCTTGGATGTGGCACGACTGAGAGAGCTCCATGGTCTGGTGTCCTTGGGAGTTCCTTGGGCTTCGCGGATGCAAAAAAACGCCTCTTCTCTCCGATTCTTCTCTCCTCTTTCTGCACCGGCCTCTCCACAGATTTCATCCAGGTTTTGGTTGAGATGGTAATGATGTGCTTCGTGGTCCAGCTGGAAGGCTGCCTATATCTTTGCGAGGCTTATAACCCTGGAATGCAAATGTGTCTGTCATTTTTTTCCACATATGCAACTTTTCCCGCTACCTGATATTGCAGGACTTGCCCACAGGGCAGCTGCAAATGACGGAGTTCTTTGCAGGAGTTGCTGTGCTCGCTGGGGCATGGAGACGGGAAGGCTACAATGCCAAAGCCATTGATGTTTAACGATTCTCGGGTGGCACGACTTCCTCTGCGTAGCCGTGTATAATTGCATGTCCTGTGTAATGCCGCTCCTAAGGCTCCTTGATGCACGACCTTCTCTCGCCTCCAGGCGTGGTGCTCGCCTTCATGACAGTGCTGCTCATGGAACCAGGCTCCTTGGTGCATTGTGGCACTGTCTGCACGTCCTTCTGCTGGCCGAATTCCGGAACTCATCGCCGCAGCGCCTTTTTCCCACAAGGAAATTCTCAATACCCCTATGTTCAACAGGGGTCTGCCTTGGCCAGCATCACAGCGGCCATCCTTTTGCTGCACTGGGCCCGGGGAGGAGTCTTCTCGCTGGAGAATCCTTTCAACTCCAAACTGGAGGTTCACTGGGACCTTCAATATCTCATGAAGTGGTTCATTGCCAGGGAGCAAGAAGGCCATGTCAAAGCTCAACTTCTCAGGCATAGCGTTTCCTTGGCAACCCTTGCGGCTCACAGTTTGAAACCAATTTGGATTTACTCGAACGAAGACATGTCCGATGCCTTCGAGACTTCCAGTGCTCCCGGCTCCGAAGCTCGCACCTGCAACAAGTACGGTCCTGTCATGCAACAGCTGCTTGTCCTGAACTGTGCAAGTACCGAACCACCATACACTACTTCCAGGATTCCAGTAAAGCTGGCTTCCCACTTTGAATACAGTTGATTCTATCTTCTCCTGACCTAGGTACGTGAACTCCCAAGGCATCCGCAAAACATGTGGGGGGCCTGGTCTCAAGGCTTCGCAAGCTTACCCGGAAAGGCTGCCTCTTCGAGAGTTGCATGCGTGTTTCGTGATGCAAAAGGGCCGCACTTTAGACATGCTCATGTCCCTGTCAGGTTTGGTACAGCCATTTGCGAATGGTGGCTGCGGAATCGCAAGCAGCTTCGGTCAGATGGGACCCGTACGCCTTGTTTCGTGCATGTGGTCTTCATTTTTTTGTCATGCATGTGATACACGCAGGATGGAACGCAAAATGAGGGGTCTCCGGGCCAGTGGAGACAAATCCATGGCGGATCTTCAGGCCGCTCAGTGGAGCCACAGACCTCTCTGCAATGTTTACTTAGTGAAAAACTTCCTAGGCATCGCTGCTGGACTACGCCCGGGCCAACGATCGCGACTTCATGGGAATTGGTGCCACTCTGTGCTGGCTGAGAAAGGGTCTTTGGAAGCGACAGTGATCCAGGCACTCAGGATGCTAAAGGAGAAAACCAATTACCGCATTGCTCCGTTGCTGTCTTGCGCAATTGTCGTCGGTTGGTCCGCTGTGCTTGTCGATAACCCTAAACCTCCCAATCTACTGCATGGCCTCGGGTGGAGTCGCTCCCCCTTGGCTATTGGGTGGAGGTGCTCCCCCTGTATCCATCGTCCATCTATATCCAATCAAACAGTCAGCCTTGGGTGGACTTGCTCTCCCTTATAATTGGCCAATAGGAAAACTGTCCTGGAATCCAGGACCAAATCTCTATAGGGTAAACTGTCCTGGAATCCAGGACCAAACTCCTAGGTAGAACAACCCGACCCGACCTTGCATTTCAGGTTGTTCGGCTCAAGCGCTGCCAGAGATCATATACTGCCTCGATCCACCATGCCTCCTGCCAAACTTCCCGTCAAGCCTGATGGCATCACGGACGAGGAGTGGGAGGCCATGAAAACCAAATCCCTCGACCCGCCGAAGCCGGCAGACATGTCAGAGCAGCAGTGGGCCGACTTGAAGCGGCAGGCAATGCAGCAACTGCGCCATATGAATCTTCTGAACCTGGACGTCTATGTGACCTCTACTGGCCATGTGTTCACACGGGAAGAACTGCAGAAGATCGCAGAACTCCACGACAAGTGATAACATTGCTTTGCCTGATCGAAGCGGTGCGAAGGGCCAAAACAAAGCTGCCGCATTGTCAGGATGTCTAATATGTGACATATGTAGGTCATGCCGGCCGGAAGACACCCTTCACTGACACGGGACCACCCCGTCACCAACCCGGAGCACCCGTGACCAACCCGTGACCGCCCTTGACCTGGAAATATCGTCAGACCCGTGACCTCGACTTAATACATATAGCGCCAGGAGGACAGTACCCGTGACCAACCCGTGACCACCCGTGACCGGCCGTGACTGAGGACGGACCACCACCCGCGACCTCATACCACTTATGGCAGCTGAAAGAGAAGCTTCTACAGGAGATTGCTGCAGAAAGGAAACGCCAGGAGGAGGAGAAGAGGAAGGAGGTGCGAATCACGAAAACCTGTAATAATGTACTTAATTGGGACTGCACTTCACAGTAGCGTATGTGCTGATCGATGTTGTCGCACCCGTGTCCAGGCCGAGCTCAAAGAGCAGCGTGCAAGAGCCATGGCCGAGGAGGAGAAGAAACTTCAGGAGACGGCCGCGGAAAGGAACCGCCTGGAGGACGAGAAGAGGAAGGAGGTGCCGAAACCAAAGACATTAATATGTCGATGTACTGAACAGTCCAAATCACAGCAGCTAGAGGCCTCGGTAGTTTACACATGTCCAGACGCAGCTGAAAGAGAAGCTTCTAGAGGAGATTGCTGCGGAAAGGAAACGCCAACAGGAGGAGAAGAGAAAGGAGGTGCAAAGCAAGAAAAATCTATAATGTACTCGGGACTGCAACAGTATGTGCTGATCGATGTTGTCGCACCCATGTCCACCAGGCCGAGCTCAAAGAACAGCTCGCAAGAGCCAAGGCCGAGGAGGAGAAGACAAAGCAGGTCCTCTTCTTGTTTCCAAATTAACTACGTTTCTATATGCAGGTTATTCAGCTTGTCCAGGTGTCGGTGGCTTCGTCGGGGGTGCTTGTTCGACCTTCTTTGCTGTCGGTTGGTTGGCTGTGCTTGGCGATAACCCCAAACCTTGCTTCAGCTCTGGAACCAATCCATTGGCCTCGGCTGGACTAGCTTTGCCTGCAATTCTCCACGCAGGCCGAGCTTCAAGAGCGGATTGCAGCGGAAAGGAAATGTGAGGAGGAGGAGAAGAGGAAGGAGGTGCCGAGACGAGTTTAATTTGTAGCCATACAGTCGCAGCCATGTCCGCAGGCCCAGATCGAAGGGGATCATGGCAGAGCCAAGGCCCAGGGGGATCAGACAAAGCAGGTACCCCGTCATCGTTCCAAGTTAGGATGCTTGCTTGCTGTGTGCATGCTACTGCTGTTTCCACCCTTCTCCACACATTCCCAGGTCGAGCTTCCTCAGCAGACCAAGAGTTTTCGTTCCGCTGCGGTTGTGCCTATAAGCACTCTATATAAAACCAGGCTGAGAACACCAATGCGGCGGGCAATCCTCTTAAGGGCTGGACAGAGCACCAGGCCGAACCTCTTCCTTCTATTATGTTTGCAGTGTTGGAGATCAACTCCGTACTGCCACGCAGGTCCAAGGCTTCAGGGCGGAAAAAAAGAAAGCAGCTCTTGGCAATGCTTGAGCAAGCCAAGAAGAGAAAGGCCGAGCAGCGGCCCGAGGACGGCCTTCCTGAAACTTCCCTGCCAGCACGTACGGAACCTTTCAACGCCGGCCACTCGGAGCCAGAAGGGACAGTTCCCCAGCCCACGGCCCCGAATCCGGGAGCGGCTGACCAAAAAAGCAGCGAGATTAGGATGCTTGAAGAGCAACTCCAAGGCTCTGAAAGCTGGCAAAAAGAAGTCCATGTTGGACTCAGTTGCCAGGCAATCCATGGACAAAAAGGAGAAGCCGCCCACGCAGGTGTCAACAGTGCCGGCCAAAGCCAACGGTGAACAGCTGTCTGCTCCTGCAGAAGTTGAGCTGCCCGCCGCAAAAGTGCAACAGCAGGTTGCAGAGTCGATGGAGCACGATTCTGGCTCTGGCTACACTCGCCGTGCAGCTGCTAACCTCCTGAAGAGACTCTCGAACAACCCGGCTCGGCTGCTGTCCTTGCCGCCAGCTCTGACTGCTGCCGTGCAAGACGACAATCAGAAGTCGGCCTTGATCGACGCCTTGGTGCAATCAGCCGGCTCCCTCGAGGCGGTGGCCGCCCACTACCATATCGGGAGTGTGCAGGAGAAGGCCCGCAAAGAGAGAGCCAAGCTGACGCCTCTTACGGCCATCCAGCTGGAGAAGATGTACGGCTCGGACGCTCCAAGAGTCATGCGGGAAAAGGAGGAGCAGAGCTTGGTTCAAGACGATCCGAACCTCACGGGTGCCAAGCTGTACCTGCACTCTTTGTCGACGAGGACGGTCCAAGGGCCTCGTGTATGTGCATCTTTTTTTGTTTTCTGTCCCAATATTGTAAGATCCAGCCAGGGAAGTCGAGACGAACTCCCTGGACCGTGCCACTGCTGCATTTGTGTACGTGGAAGTGTCACGCTTGCACTCATGTGGTAGAACTCGTTAACGATGGAAGTCAGACAACTTCCTCGGGCGGTGCTTTGGACACAGCGGATCCAACAGCTCGAGAGTATCTGGCAAATCTGCAGCACCTTCTCTTCTAAATTAGTCAACTCCACATCTTTGTAATGTGTCTGCAACAAGTTTCTTATTATAATGCTCTCCTCGCAAGGTCAGCCCTGGCCAAGAGTGGCCAAGCAAGGCCATCGATCGGCAGTGGCTCTGCCCCATCGACGCCGGCCAACACGGCGCCTGGAACTCCGGCTTCGAATCCTACTCCGTCACCGAGTCACGAGGGAAATGCAACCAAACCTGGAAAAGGGAAACCGCAGCGAATGGAGCCCCTGACAACCCATGAGAAAGCTGCAGACCTCCGCAACAAGGTCATGGCCAAGGTGACTGAGACACACAAGATGATTACTCAGCTCAAGGGCGACGTCTACGCTGCGAAATGTTTGGAGGAGCTGACGGCTTTTGAGCAGAAGTTCCAGCCCCCTTGTTTGCAGCCAAATCGACGATGCAAACTGACATCTCCCATGACTTGAATTCCCATATGCTTTCCCAGGAATGTGTGGGACCAGGTCAGCGACCTGATGAAGAAAAAGGTTGAGGACGAGCAGCTCTACCTCCCCTTGGGCCGCGAGTTCCTTGTGCTGAAGCAGGTCACGGTCCGTTAAGATTGTGTTCTTGCATGACCTATACGTAGTACCATCTCTTTGCTTGCTCCATTGAACAGGAGTCCGATCGAACCATCAAGACGGCCGCCTCGCTGATCAAAGCTGCCAACTTAGCCTTGGGCCCGACCAAGGAACCCAAAGCCAAGGCTAGCAGAAAGAGGAAAGGCCAGCAGTAGATCCAATGGATCATAGTGCAGGGTTCTGCACGTGCAGACCAGGATTGAGATCTCTGCCGGTGCAGCTACATAGGGGAGGAGGTCTCCTCTTTCCAAGGGTTCTGCAGTTGCACGTGCAGAGTCTATGACAGTAACGTACTGTATTTGGCGTGTATATATATATATATGTCTGTGTGTGCTCCGGATGGAAGTACTGGGCCAAGACCTGCACGTGCTTTTGGGGCACATCTGAAAGCATGTGCAATCGTGCTCACGATCACTGCGACTGCAGTGAACATGCACATACACACAAGGCGCTGGATGAACCAGCAGCCTATACAGGTATAGTGTACGGAACCACAGCGGCGAGCTGCAAAAAACATGCTGCATCAGGATCCTCTTCCAAGCTTTGTCCCTCTGCTGCTACCAGAATGGAGCATTTTTTGATTGGCAGGTACGACAATGCGGGGATGGACGAAACGAGCTGCGAGGGCAAGCGTCGAGTGAAGATGTGATTCTGCCACGTTTGTTACTTCATGTGCTGATGTAGCATGCTCTAACTTGACCTGCTTCCGCAGATCTACAGACGATTTCCAATCTCATGGAGCTCGCATGCTCGCCGAAGAGGTGGGCAAAGGAGCAGCCAGGAATTGCAGGTGAGAATATTACTTCCTTGTCTGTGAGGATGAACAAGCCGTATAATCAAGCAACGTTGCACATTTTCCGACCCATGGTATCTAAGGCAATGAGTTACTCTAAGAGCCAAAAACTGGCGAAAGCCTTTGCCAACGACGGTGTGAAGAAACGGGACCTCCTGCAGATGGCGTCCTCTGCACAAGAACGGGATCCCTACAAATGGATGAGGCTCCCTTTCGAGCCCGTCAAGGTGCAACTTCCTGTGTTCAGCACGACAGCAGAGAGGGAAGACAAGCAGACCCGTGTCCGAAGCATTTGGTTGGTATGTTACACTGTTCTTTTATAAGCTACGCCTGCCGACGACCTTCACCATGTCCAACACGGCACCGTTTCATTTGCTTCTGAGGTTGGTAACAACACCTGCTTCGATCGTGTTGCCTTCTGATGTCTTGGCGGAGTTGAGCAAGCGCGGGCTCCTTTCCTCCTGCCTTGAAGGCTTTGGATCTGTGCGAGAATGGTGGGACCGCGAGAACGATCCTGTCTACAAGGGCCTGATCGACCACTCAGAATATCCTTATCCGCTGCTTTTTCATGAAGACGGTGTGCCAACCACGAAGCGAGAGACTGTGGTATTTTGGTCGTGGTGTTCAGCCTTGACCAACCAAAGGTCCGAGATCAGCAGGTTCTGCATCATTGGTGTTCCGCAATCTCGGATTGCGAAGCAAACTCGTACTTTTATTCCCACATGAAATCGCATGAACTCTGTCGCAACTACACTCGCAAGTATATATGCGACTGGTGTCTGGCTTGCAACAGCGACGTCATCCTCAACTCTGGCGACTTGAGTGCTACAGCTGGATGGCGTCAAACCGAGGAGCACACCCGCCCAGCTCCGCACGCCAACGATGTTTCTCCTTGGAAGCAAGTCACGGGCTACACCCGTCGCAGACGGCTGTACGACGGCGGCCTGTCTGCATATGATATGGCAGGGCCGAAGCACATAATTGTTTCTCCATCATTATAAGTCATCATATTATGCATAAAACATGCCTTTCAACTTCAACCTGCCCCTGCAGTCATGCATCTGGTGCATCTGGGTGTGCTCCGCGACCTCCTGGCTTCTGTCATGTTGGAAACTTTGCGGAACGGTCTCCGGGAGGCAACAAGAGCAGGAGCTTGATGTTTTTGTGTCATTATCTCGCTCAGGACTCTGTGTAGCTGTAGCTCCGTAGAGATATATAGCTCCGCCAGCCCGTGAGGTGAGATGTCCAGGTTTTTGGGTTTGCAGGACCAGTCGCCAAAGCCGAATGAGATTCTGTACCGGTTCACATCCAGAGCTCAAGCGTGGTGCAAGGAAAGACGATTGGATCTTGGACTAAATCCGATCACAATGGACACGCTGAATGCGACGCTGAAATATCCTGAATTGCGCTCCACGATCAAAGCATCGAGATGCAGGAATCTTTTAGCCTTCGTCACCCACTTCGCCGTGGAGCTTGAGAAACAGCCCGACCCGGACGATTGCAGTTCCGAGACAGCTCATTGGAGAAGGGCCCGTGCCTGTGTGCTGTGGTCTCTCGATGCTGCCTTGTGGCTGGGACCGCCCACAAGCCCCACATGACCGATGGAGAAACAGAAGAATCCGTTTGGCTTTTTGAAACGTTCCTGCTCCTGTACCAACACGCAGCTGCCCGTGCATATGGACTGTCTCAATTACTTTACAAGATGAGACCAAAGCACCACTATGCATCTCACATGATCGCAGGAGTCGCGCAAACAAAGCTGAACTTTATGCACTGTTCCAACTTTGGTGACGAAGACCATATGAAATATATGAAGAAAATTGGCTGTTTACTGATCACTCTTGTCTGTCCCTGTCTGAACTTATTTGTTGTAGTTCGAACCTTTTTTGGGCATGCAGCTGTTCAGTCAATCAGCTAAGGAGTGTGGCTGCTGGATGCCATGCGGCGGCGCAACTGGTATCTTGGGCTCGTCGCTACATCACATTGAAGAGCTTTCAATGGTCCCGCGTGATGAGATAAAAAGTGCTACGAGTGATCACAGTGCCCTGGTTTAAAGTAAACACTCGAGAGACATAAAAACAAAATGTCCTGGATTCCAGGACGTATACGGTCCAAAAAAGTGATATAAGAGTCTAGCATGCAGCTGCTCGACCTTCCAACTAAAACCCACCAGAGCACCACAAAACAATAATGCCCAAAACGCAAAGCTACTACGTCACAGACCGACCCCGGTGCTGACGATTCTTGCCAAACCAGCATGATTTCTAAACCCTTTATGAATTGGAAGCCCTAAATCTCGGTTGCAGCATATTCCCGCCGCCATGGCGATTAAGTTACAAGCGTCAACTATTCCCGCCGCCATGGCGATTAAGTTACAAGCATCAACAAAAGACCATGCTCCGCTACCAGCCATGCTCCGCTACCAATGTAAAACCCGTTCAGGTTTCCCCTAAGACACCGAAGCTCAAAAGCAAATTGCAGTTGAATCCATCCCGTAGGGCACACGCTGCATGCCGGCGAACATATCGAAGTCAGATGGGTGCCTGTGCTTGGCGTGACTTAGTTGGTCGGTCGGTCAGTCGGTCGGTTGTGCATGCTTGGAATTCGCATCGACGTCGCCTTGGAATGCTGGTGGCATGGTTGTTCCAGTTGCTTTGCTGTGTATGGGTGCTTGTGCTTGGCGTGACTTAGTTGGTCGGTCGGTCAGTCGGTCGGTTGTGCATGCTTGGAATTCGCATCGACGTCGCCTTGGAATGCTGGTGGCATGGTTGTTCCAGTTGCTTTGCTGTGTATGGGTGCTTGTGCTTGGCGTGACTTAGTTGGTCGGTCGGTCAGTCGGTCGGTTGTGCATGCTTGGAATTCGCATCGACGTCGCCTTGGAATGCTGGTGGCATGGTTGTTCCAGTTGCTTTGCTGTGTATGGGTGCTTGTGCTTGGCGTGACTTAGTTGGTCGGTCGGTCAGTCGGTCGGTTGTGCATGCTTGGAATTCGCATCGAACGTTGCCTTGGAATGCTGGTGGCATGGTTGTTCCAGTTGCTTTGCTGTGTACCTTGAGGGCTTGGGATTCGTCGGTCGGTGAGTTGGGAATTGATGTGCATTGATGTGCTTGATTGATCGACTGCGTGGTTGCTCCAGTTGCTCATGGAATTGTTGTTCTTGCCTTGAAACACTTGAGCGTATCGCACTGGGATTCATCGGTTGCTTGCTTGGTTGCTTGTTTGGTTGGTAGGTTGCTCCAATTGCTCAGGGAAGTGTTGAATGTACCTTGAAACACTTGATCGTGTCGCACTTCATTGGGATTCATAAGTTGCTGGCTTGGTTGCTTGCTTGGTTGCGCTTGCTTTGTCTGGTGTGGATGCGAACGCAACCATGCAAGTACAGCACTAACATCGTCAAAACGCCGCGTCCACTAAGGTCGTCAAATTTAAACCCAGACCAACGTTGGGACTCGGGTAAATATCGTCGGGCTCTGGAAATATCGTCGGGAGTCGGGAAAATATCGTCAGGACTCTGGCAAATATCGCCGGGACTGCGGAAATATCGTCAGGACTCTGGCAAATATCGCCGGGACTCCGGAAATATCGTCGGGACTCGGGAAATATCGTCGGGGCTCCGGAAATATCGTCGGGACTCGGGAAATATCGTCGGGACTCCGGAAATATCGTCGGGATCCATAAATACGTCAAAATATCGTCGGGATGTTACTTGTGTTTGAAATATCGTCGGGATCAGAAAAATATCGTCAGAGTCCAGGCAACCCAGGTCTGACGATATAATATCATCAAAAGCATGTCCAGCTGAGGAGTGGCGCCATGAGAACCGTGGCCTTGCAGTTCTCCTGGCGGCGGACTCCCTGATCAGGAAGAAGGTCTACAAGCTCAACAACGACAAGCGCAAGGACTTTCCCACGTTCTCCGAGGCTCTCTGCGAGGTCCTCACGAACCACAAGCAGCTCTGGAACGACGCTCGCTCCACGGCCGAGCTCGAGAAGTTCCGCCAAGTCGAGCATGAGTTCGCCACTCCGAAGCGGCCACGCTCGAGGTCTCCTCCGCCGACACCTCCGAAGAACGAGGCCAAAGCTCGGAAGAATCGTGCTCGTCGGCAGAAGGAGAAGGAGTTGCTTAAGCAAGCTCGTGCAGAGCGCGATCGCGCTCGTGATCAGGCGAAACCGAACAAGCCTTCAGTGCCTAAGCTCACAGAGAAGGACAGGGTCGATCGCGACACCAGGGTTCCGGAGAAGGAGTGGAAGAAGATCATGTCCTTCTCCTACACTGGTGCTCGCCGCTGCCCATGGTTCAATTGTTCGCTCGGCTGCCGGTTCGGTGATCAATGCAAGAACAAGCATTTCTGCGTGCAGTGCGGGGGGGATCACCCCTACCATGGCAATCACTGAGCTCCTGTGCCGCCGCCGGGGGAGTTTGGTCGTCTCCCTCCGGCACCGGTGCTAGAGAGACCACCGGGGGATTTCGCTCTCCCCCCGCCGCAGCGGCCGCCGGCTCAGGCTGCTAATGACGTTTCTTGTCAGAAACTGACAGCTGCCCCTTCGGGCCGGCCGCCGCCGTGGGCTCTTTGGGCGGACGTGCCCCGTGATCCAGACACTGTTCGCGAGCTTGGTCCATGGTGTCTGGAAATCTTTGCGGGGTCTGCTGGTCTCACTGTTTGCTGGAGACGTCAAGGTCTTAAGACCTCGCCGCCGGTCGACACGTGCATCTCAGAGAATGTTCTGGAGTCGATCGACTTGCTGGACGCACAGGTCTTCGACTGGCTCCTCTTGCTCTGCCGCATGGGGGCGATCGCTTTTCTGCACTTGAGCGTTCCCTGCTCTACCTTTAGTGTGGCCAGGGATCGACCTGGAGGGCCCCCTCCCTTGCGTTCGCAGGCGCTGCCGCTCGGCCTTCATGTTCTCAAGAAGAACCACCAGGCCCAGCTCTTTGAGGCCAACGAGCTTTTGTTTCGTTCTCTTCTTCTTTTCGACGCTGTGGTCCAAGCTGGCGGGGATGCCTCGATCGAAAACCCGAGGGACAGTCTGATCTGGCAGGTTCCCCAGGTTCAACAACTCAAAGTTCGTCTTCACCTCTACAACGTCGATCTTGATCAGTGTGAGTATGGTTCCCCTCACCGGAAGCCTACTCGGCTTCTGGTGAGCCATGCTGCTCTTTTGGTTCTTGCGCGAACTTGTTCAGGTGGGCATGTTCATGAACCTCTTCGCGGCGTGCTTCGTTCGGTGACTGGGAAGAAGATCTTCAAGACCAAGGCGGCTCAGGTTTATCCCCCTGCGCTTTGCAGCGCATGGGCGATCGCTGTGGCCACGGTCGTGCAGCATTCGGCCCAGCAGTTCGCTGCGTCCTTTGCTCTCACTGCTCCGACAGAAGAACGCAAACGAACCTTGGGATCCCAGATTTCTTGGAAGGGCCATCGCCAATCAGCTGCCGCTCGGCTAGTGGCGGCTAGCGGCTATCAGCTCAAACGTGGCGCCGCCAAGCCGCTGCTCGACATCGAATGCGAGCCTGGTCAAGCTATCCAGTGGTCTCTTCAAGTTCTGCACCCCTTCACTGTGCAGCCCGCGCTCCCCGACAAGATCGTCGATAACATCAAGTTCATTGTCTCCTCCCCGCAAGCGCTCGTTGCTCGACGTTCGGAGCGACTGCAATTTTGGCACCAACGTGCAGTTGCACTTCTTCCTCAGACAGATCAGATTTTGCGGTCGATCGCCGACGCCCCTCTTCGTCGGCTTCTTCGTGGTGCTCCAGATTACGCTGATGTACAGCTGGGTTCCTGCACTCATGTGGCTCTCTATGATGAGCTCTTCGCGGCGATCGGCTGCACGGATCATCAGATCCTCCAAGGCATTCGCAGTGGTTTCCCGATCGTGGGTGAGATCCAGCGCTCGGGGCGTTGGCCGCCGTTCACTAAGCCACAGCGCTCGGTGCCTGTGCAGGAGGCTCTGGATCGGGCCTGGGAGTTGCGAGCCAAGGTCTTTCGCAGATGCAGGTCAGTTCCTGTCTCTGATAATCTGAGGTCTCTTTGGAAGGTGGCAGCTCCGTGTGCAGTTCAGCAAAGTGGACCGCAGCAGCAGGTGGCAGCTCCTAGTGCAGTTCCGCAGCAGAACCTTCCTCCAGCAAGTGGACCGCAAGAGGTGACAGCTCCGTGCGCAGTTCCGCAGAACCTTCCGTCAGCAAGGACGCTCCTGCAGCAGCCTGGAACTCCCTCCATTTTGGACATGGTGCAAGAGCTTGAAACGCAGATGGATCAGGAGGAGCCAATCAGTGTGAATGACACGCCCGGACCCCCGCCCCGGCTGAATCGCAGCACTGTGTCAACACTGGCTTCGGCTGTGGCTCGAGTCTCCCAGGCAGGTTCCTTTGTTAATGTTGTCTGGAATTTTCGCAAAACCTGAGTCCGTGGCCGGTTTATGTATACACCCTAAACCCTAAACCCTATATAACCCTTAAACCCTAGACCACACACGTGTAGGATGTATCACCGTCGTATGGGACACATAATATATAATGCATGCAGTGTGACATTTTCTTTCTGTGTGTGTTTTCTGGTGCCGACCGAAGTGCGATCTGTCTCGCAGGACTTGGTTGCACCGGACACCTCAGCGCGCGACGCTCGAGGACGTCAAGGAAGGCTCGACGCTGGGTCCGTTCGGATCCGAAGAGGAAGTCTCCAAGTTCTTGGAGTGCTCTGACTGGATTCCGACCCAGCGCTTCGAAGTGGTTCAGAAAAACAAGGTCAGGGGCTGTGACAGTGCCACCTCCAACTTGATCAACCAGACCGCGGTGATCACCGAGAAGTTGGAGCTCACCTCCACGGACCTGAATGTGGCCGTTCTGCGCGAGCTCCGCACCAGAGGGGGCGATCGCCCCTTGCAAGGCTGGGTCCTCGACGAGCGGAAGGCCTATCGGCAGCTTCCGATCTTGCCGGCGCGCAGGAAGTTCAGTGTGATTTGTCTGAAGGATCCTGGCGACGACATTCCTAAGTTCTTTGTTATGATCGGGCACTCCTTCGGGCTCGTGGCGGCGGTCTACAACTACAATCGCCGCTCGGCCTTGATCAATGACATTCTTGTCCGGCTGTTCAGCATGGTCGCTTTCAACTCTATGACGACAAGTACGGGTTCGAGACCGATCTCACGGCGCCGTCGGCTAAGATCGTGGCCGAGTGCATCCATTTCTGGCTCGGTGCTCTGTTCGACGAGAAGAAGCTCCAGCTGTCGGTTGCGCCCGTGATCTTGGGCGTTACCTGTAACCTCGAGCTCTTGGTTCTTGAGATCAAGGAACAGAGGAAGCGGGAGCTCCTGGACTCGATCGACGGGATCCTCGAGGCTGGCACTCTGGATCCGGGAATCGCTGGGAAGCTCAAGGGCAAGCTCATGTTCGGAGCGAGTCAGCTCTGGGGGAAGGTGGGACGTGCGTTCTTCCGTCCCCTCTCAGAGCGCCAGTACTCTAAGGATCGGTCTAGCGATCGCATGGAGCTCAACCTGGCTCTGGAGCGCTCGCTTCGGTACTGGCGGAACCTCATCATCCACGGTTCTCCGCGGGAGATATCACTCCGCTCGGAGAAGAACGCCGATGTCGTGATCTTCACGGACGGCTTCACTCCGGATCACCGGAAATCAGAAGAAGGGGCCGATCGGATCGGAGCGGTGATGTTCGATCGGCGGGCCGATGCTCCTAAGCAGTTCACCGAGGTGATCCCGGTCAAGGTGTCGGACCGCTGGCTCGCGAGAAAGACCCAGATCGTCCCGATCGAGATGATCGCGCCGATCCTTGCGCTCGATCACGTGAAGAACAAGGACGTTCTCCTCCTGATCGATTCTGAGGCGGTCGAGGCTGCTCTAGTGAAGGGATACTCCTCTAAGGAAGATCTCTGTGAGCTCGTTGAAGTTTTCTGGGAATTGGCTCTTGAATATAGGGTCAACTTCTTTATCGATCGAGTTTCTACAGATGCCAACCCCGCAGACTGGCCATCGAGGGATCGCCTCGGGATTGGCCAGGCTGCAGGATGGTCGACAGTTTTGTGCTCATGGCCCGCGAAGCTCCGTTAAAAGATCGTTTCAGGGCCTGGGAGGTTGCTCGTGTTTCGAACGAAGGGAATTTGTTCGAGATGCTCCCGCGTCTGGTGTCCCGGGAAGGGTTCGCCGGTTGCGGGTTCGAGCGACTGCGTCGTTGTCCTGGGGTGGGGCTGGTCGTGTCTGATGCTCTTTTCGTGGATCTTCTTCGGACCGCTCGCCCCCATGCCAGAGCGGACTAAACAGTGCTCGTCCGCTCGGTGTTTGCTGTTCAGTGAGCTTGCGAACGTTCGTGCGTGTAGTGTGGTTCTCCTATTATCGGCTAGGTAGGTCTGGAATAGGAGGGTCACACTGCAGCACGTGATCAGCATGCCTGCTCCTTTTTGTGATCACCACGGTGTTCCGTGGCCATTTTGGGTCGAGACGATCGTCTCGGTCCGTGAAGGACTTTTTGTCCCACCCAACCCGCCCTATTTTATTAAGGGGGGAGGTTGCTCGTGTTTCGAACGAAGGGAATTTGTTCGAGATGCTCTCGCGTCTGATGTCCCGGGAAGGGTTCGCCGGTTGCGGGTTCGAGCGACTGCGACGACGACGACTCCGATCGTGGGTTGTCGTTGTCCTGGGGTGGGGCTGGTCGTGTCTGATGCTCTTTTCGTGGATCTTCTTCGGACCGCCCGCCCCCATGCCAGAGCGGACTAAACAGTGCTCGTCCGCTCGGTGTTGTGCATGTTGTTCAGTGAGCTTGCGAACGTTCGTGCTTGTAGTGTGTGCCCTCTTCCTCTTCCGGGCCATCCTTTTCACTCCTTCGGCCCGCCAGGTCGTTGAGCAACCTGAGGCGGTCCTCCCCCGCCCTCGCTCCTTGAGGCTCCGGCCTTATTTGCATGAGTGAGCTTCGCCGGGATTTGGCTGACGCTGCCCGTTCCCTTGCCTCTGCTCTTGCTCGTCTCAGCCTAGACGATAACAACGGTGAGTGGGAGGTTGTGGTTGATCCGGCTGTGCCTAGTTCCTCAACCCCTTCGGTTCCCCTAAGCTCCTCAGCCGAGGCCCGAACCCTTAGTGAACCCGTGCGGCACGCCGTCCCTCCGCCTTTGCCTGAGGACATCCGCTTTCTTGCTCGCAGCCTGCCTCTTGCTTCCCGCGAAGCAAGGGCCACCCGTGCTTGGAAAGCTGGCTTCTGGGCCGGTGAGGTTCTGGCTGGCCGCTTGGACTTTCCTTGGGCCTCGGATCGCATCGCTGTTCGATCCACCATCTACGTGGTCCTCCGTTGTGACGCCCTGTCTGGGCCGGCCTCCTTCAGGGGCTTCCGTGCGTTCAAGAACGCTGTGGGTGCTCTTGAGCATTCCAACACTGTGTGCCACGGCTTCCCTACCGAGGAGACGCCCGTGTCTTCTGTGCTGGGGCCAACGTGCCTTTCCCCCCCTTCTGTTACTGTTAGTCATGGATTTGGTCCGCGAATTCCTGAGGTGCTTTGATCTTCTCTCCTCCTATTGGGGAGACCGAGGAGCCTTCCGACTTCCTGGCTCTGCCTGTGCTGTGCCATTCTGCGGGCTTCCTCCTTGCACTGCCTCCTGGGACTTTCTCGGAAGGGTTGGGCCAGCAAGGCGACTCGGAGGTTCAGGTCGGCCCTTCTTTCACGACTTCCGTCGCCGGCCTCGAGGAAGACGAGGCAGGCATCATGCAAGAGGTGTCGTTGCAGGTCCCGTGTCTGGTGGTGGACCTGAAGGAGGAGCTGGCCAGTTACCTTCGCAAAATAGACCCTGTGACCGACCCGGTCGAGAGCCGGGGCTTTTGCCGGAACATCCCGCGGTGGTGCCACAGCACAGTGCTTTGATCGAGGCCCTCGGGCCTGGCTTGCCACAGAGACGGGAGAGAGATTAGCCTTCTACAGTGCCTCGGAGGCCTCGCCGCCCTCAGCCTTCTCGGCCGAAGCGGGTGACCACTACGCAACTGGCCTCCCAAATCTTGGGAATATCGGAGGCCTTTCCTTTGCTGACGGCCAAGCTGCAGTCTCTTGCAGATCGCCAGGACACGGAGACGTTGGAGAAGCGTCTGGTTGCCCCTCCCGAGGTGCCACCGAAGGCTCACCAGCAAGGGCCCCTGACACACCAGATGATGCGTGCTTTGGGGACATGTTGGGCCCCTCCTCGTCTCCGCGAGCCTCAATTTGCACGGGCCTCCGCCACTCAAGCCTCTCCGGACCTTGGTGCTCCAGCCGAGGAGGGCCCTATCGAGGGCCTCCCGCAACAGGACCGTTTGGCCGATGCCATCGGAGGCAATCTTCCAGGGCGATCACCTGGGGGTTGAAGTCGCCACGTGCTGCCGCCGCCGATTTCTCGCCTCTTTTGGGTTGCTCCAGAATGACGCCCCCTTCCCTATTTTCGCCGATTGCATTGAAGGCTTGATAATCCACCACTACTTCAGCATTTCCTTTGAGGAGCGGGGGCCTCCTCCAGCCGACCGGTCTCGCTCAGGCAGGTGTCTCGACTCCGCCAGGTCAGCCTATGCAAGCTCAGGTCTGCTGGGGTCGAGAAGGACCTGCAAGAGGTTTGCCTTGAGAAGGTCGGCGGAGCTGAACTTGATTCTTCTCCATTGGCGCGATCGCTCGGCTTTATCCTTGCTGGCCAAAAGGCTTTCACTTGCTGCTGTGTCTCTCGTGCTCGCCGCCTCGCCGTGTACCACCGACTGCCTCCACCTTTGCCTGATGGGGGGCTGGACTTCTATCCTCCTTTACCGCCGGCCGCTCATGGCTGTCTTCTCGAAAGCTTTCGGGCTGGTAAAGGGGGCTGAGGTTAAGTCGGGATCGCCTAAGGTCATTCCGCTCCCACGCTCCGTCGCTGATGAACTGGTCGTTGTCAGTGCACTGACCGCTTTGGCTGTCAGTGATCTCTCGGCCCAGCTCCTCCCCGAGGTGTTTGCCACGGACTCCTCTGAGGACGCCGCTGCTTCTGTCCAGGCTCCTTGCGACCCTGATGTGCTCCGTGCTTTGGCTGTCTGCTGACCGGAAGGGAGGGTATTCAAGGATGCTCTCAAAGGCCGAGGCCCTTCTTTAAAAGCCATGATCCTGATTTTGAGGAGCTCGGGGATCTTTTCGGAAACGAGGCTTCAGGCTTTGCTGCCAAATCCCACGCCGAGCGTCCTCGCTCCCTCCGCTTCCATTAATTGCTTGGAGGTTGGCATTCGTGTTGGTGCCATTTCTGATGATCTCAAGTCCCTTGGCTGGACTCCGGGCCCGGCCTTGGATCTTGAAGCCTCGCCTGAGTACGACTTGAGGTCCTGCCACCTTGTTGCCTGGATTTCGCACCTTTTGGAACATGGCCTCCTGGACTCTCTCGTTATCAGGGGGAGAGAGCGGGAGGGGGAGAGAGCCCTTGATTAGCGGCGGGCCGAGTCCTCTCTTTTCCTTTTTCGTCACGCTGTGTTGGTCGGTGTCCCGGCCGTCCTTCTTCAGCCTGCCACGGCTGCCAGCCTGGCGAGCTACTTTGGTGTCGCCCAGCAGGTGTGGGGCAGAAGGCGTTGGGTTGCCCTCCTTTGCAACCTTGCTTTGGGCAGTGACCATGGCAGCTTTGACCCTGAGTGCTCCGAGCAGGCCGCCTACTCCCACCTTGCGCATTGCCTTGACTCCTCTCTCCGGAAGCGCTTTGCTGCCCTTGCCTCTTCTGACCTTTGTGTTGAAGGCTTGGAGACTCCTCTCGCAAATCACGTTGCTCTGTCGAGCCAATGGAGTGTTCGTGATGTTTGGGCTTGGCCTCGGCCCGTTCACATCAACATACTGGAGTCAAGTACGGTGTACAGGCTTCTGCGGTGCACTGCGCTGGAAACCGTCTCGGCACGCATTGTGTCCCTGCTGGATTCGAATGTTTCGCGATGCGCCCTATCAAAGGGCAGGTCTTCTGCAAAAGGGCTCTTCCAGGTTCTTTGCCGCACTGCTGCCCTTGAGGTTGGATTTGGGCTCTATCCGGCGTACCCCTTTTACCCTACCAGGTGGATGCCTGCTGATGGGCCCTCTCGTGACGGCTCGCCTCCCCTTGCTGTCCCTCTGGCCTGGACTGTGCATGGACTTCTGGTGAGCGTCTCATAGACTTACAACGTCTGCCTCGCCTGAGGCGTTGGGCTTCAAACTGGGTGAGGCTCCTTCTCCGCCATGATCGCCGTTTTGCCTCCTTTGCTGCTCGTACCTTCTTTGGGGGCGGCATGGATTTTGATGCTACCCTTGGCTACCCTGGTGAAGGCCCTGCTTCTTTTCCTTTCAGGGTGTTCAGGGTTTGGGTGCTCATCTCCTTCATCCCTCTCAGCCATGGTATGCTTCAGCCTCAGAACTTAGCTGACTGATTGCGGAAAACTGCTAGGCAGGACCTACCGTTGCCGTTGGGAAGGCCTGTCGAGAAGCAGACTCAGCGTGTGCGAGACCGGCTGTGGGACGAGTTTGCTGCCTGGCTTCGGGGCAATGGCCTGGACCTTGAAGCGGTTTTTGGAGAAGGTGCCATCGACATTGATTTTGTCAACATCGTGCTGGGAAAATACGGGAGAGAGCTTTACCAAGCAGGCCGCCCGTACAGCCACTACAGCGAAACTATAAATGCGGCCTCCTCCTTGCACCCTAAGATTAGGCGACTGCTTCAACCGGCCTGGGACGTCGCTTTTTGTTGGATGCGGAACGAACCTCATCACCATCATGTTGCGATGCCCTGGCAGGTCCTCCTGGCTATGATTTCTATTGCTTTATATTGGGGATGGCCCCTCTTTGCAGGCTGTATGGCCCTCACGTGGGGCGGGCTTGCTAGAGCGGGGGAGGTTTTTCAGGCATACCGCCATTGCCTCTTCCTTCCGTCCGATGTACGGCTCACAACGCAGTGGGTCATCCTGGCGATTCCTGAACCAAAGACACGGTATAAAGCTGCTAGGCACCAAAGCCTGAAGGTTGACCATCCGGACCTCATCGAGGTCATTGAGTTCGTTTTTTCTGGGCTGCCTCCGGGGCAGAAGCTTTGGCCCATGTCAGACCAGAGCTTTCGCAACAGGTTTCAGCGCATCCTTGCAGCGCTCCACCTGCAGTCGCTGCCGAGGCCTTTTACCAAGACTTTGGATTTAGGCAGCATGCGTGCTGGGGGCGCGACGTGGCTCATGACATGATGGTTTCTGAGGACAGCGAATTGGTTAGGAGGAGAGGCAGATGGCTCACCTCCAAGATCATGGAAATCTACATTCAGGAGGTCAGTGCTCTTCAATTCCTGCCTGCGCTCCCCAAAGCAGACCGGGACTATCTGCTGGACTGGGCTGGGATGTACTCTTAAGAGTCAGGTCCTTGAAAGGCACTCCTCCTCACATGTGGCAAATTTTCCTTGGCCGTGGTGCTTGAGACTGCACAATGGGGGTGGAATCAATGGGCGGAGGCTCTGCGGACTTTAGCGATGTACAGTATCGCAACGTGTGCACCCTGCAAGCTGGTGGAAAAAGTGGCTACCGGAGAGCATGAGCCACTGTACACTCTAGTGGTGAATGTTTGATGGTGCCGCTCAAGATGTCCCTCCCTCCGCACCCGCCACCACGGCTCTGCGGACTTTAGCGATGCACAGTATCGCAACGTGTGCACCCTGCAAGCTGGTGCAAAAAGTGGCTACCGGAGAGCATGAGCCACTAGCTAATGTAGATGGGAGGGGCCGGGTGGGCCAGGTGATCAAGCGTCGGAATTCATTTCGACGCCAGGGCGTTGAAACGAAACCCCGAGGGCCCTCGGTTCTACGTTTCAATGCTTCGGACCCCCCTCGATTCCTTCCCCGCCATGAATTTTGAGGCCCCCCCTCCATCTATCCCCCCCAAATATGTAGAACTTGAGTTAGGCCTAAGGGTGCTGCGAAGCACCTACATGATTGCAAGCATCACGTTTGTGTTCCTGTGCCGTGGCATTTGCTCACAGATTGTGAAATGAGGCAATGATCCATTCTGCCACTTTATTTGGAAGCCATGACAGCCTTACCCGTCCGAACCCGTGGCTACAGGGTTTCACGTTGGAACAAGCCCAGCACACCAGCATCTGCTTGCCCTGGTCCGTCGGCGGGTCTGGTCCCGAGTGCGTCGTCAGGATCTGAGCTACGACGGGGGAGAGGGGGGGGGGATGGGGAGGGATGTGGATGGATCGTGATTAGGTCCTCGACATAGGGCAGCCACAAACGTGTTCGGACCTCCCTCGTTCTTCGCGGAAAGCTGGCCGATGGTGCACGGGTGGAGCATGGAGAAGTAAGCATCTGGAAGACCTTAGTAGAAGCCCAGGACTGCTCTTCAGCAACCTGGTAAACAGGCCAAGATGGGCCAGAAGAACTCCATCTTCGATATGAAGCTCAAAGCGAAGGCTCGTTTCGACTTCGTTTACGGCGATAAGAACTGATGGAATGGTCCCCCAGCCGAAGTCTATTTCAGCCCAACGTGTTGGACGCTGGTGCCAGCAAGGCGTTCTCCCAAGGTGTTTCGAGCGTGGGGTTCCGGGCTTTGGAGTTCGGAGTTCGTTGGCCTAGGACTCGGTAGGGACCGGTCCAACTACGGTAAATAACAATCAAGCATATAGGTGGCCTGCGCTTGCTTTTGACAACTGCTGCAGGTTACGTTGCTGGATTGCGATTGGTTCTTGTTGGCTGTCAACAGCCACACTGCAGGCTCTAGCAGAATAGGGCATGCTACAAACAAGAGGCAGGGAGAGGGCACACAAAGGCAAGGACCAAGGTGCATCACCCTCGCATGATTGGTCCTTTCCTCACAAGCACAGTACGGCCGAAAAACTTGCAAAGTTGCATTCTTCAACATGGTGTACCCGCTATGCAGGTGTGTTGTGTACTTGCTTGAAGCTGGAGACGGCAACAACAACTCAATATGCGGAGCTTTTTTTGTATTTAGCGTGGATATGTACATGCAGGGCTGGTGGCATGGATGTTATCATCGTTCGAGCATGGATATACTAGCCAACGGATTGGCTGGTCGCATGGACGTCGTCCTCGTTCGCAATGGATAGGGTAGTAGGACGCATTTCAATCGCAGGCGATGAACGACAGGAACAGGGTTTAGGACCTTCTATACCCCAACTCCGCGGAAATGATTGCCTTCAGCAACTTGTCCAAGCACTTTCCATGTAGAAATACTCATCGCCATCTGACATAAGAATCTGTCACAAGATCCCGAGCTCAGTACCATCGGCTGGCAGGAGTGGCAGTGGGAGCTTGGGAGAGAGGCCGACAGAGATGAGAAGTCGAGATGCGCTGCTCTGCCACTTCAGTCTGGAGTTCTGCCGCCTCGCTCAGTCGTACGCGCAGTGTGCACACATGGTGGGACGTGTCTTCAGATCTTGACAGCCCGGTATAGATATGCAAAGACTCTCTCAGCTGCCGGTTAGCCATGGACGGTGGGTGGGACAAAGATGTTAGCTAATGGTTGTTGAGCCGAAGACTTGTTGTGGCGATTAGAAAGCATTGCTGTCTGCAGGGCTCAGATTACACGTCCATTCAGCTTCCCTCCTTCCGCAGGCCAAACACCTGGACAAAGAGATTGCCAAGATCCAGAAAGACGAGGCGCAGAAATGAGTCTACTTAAAATGCACACAAGGTGTACCTAGTGCCCTGTGGCAAGATGGTCAAAGACTTCCTTTAAATCTTTCTGCGAAACCGATAAGCTGCGGAGCAAGCATTTTTCTAGAGAAATTTCAGTTGCTCGGGCATTCATGTGAACGTGAGGTTGTGCAGACTCATTCCGAATGCTTACAAACCAAACCCTTTACCGCGCTCTCCTTGCATACTCCGCGACTGCGACAAATTGTCTCGCAGATTGAACTTGGTTACCGTCTCTGCTGACCAGGTTAAGCTCCAAGATCAGATCCGGCTGCAGGTGCTTGAAGCAGCTTCTTGACTTTCTCGGGATTTGGAAGGTGGTCCGAGTCTAAAGCATCTTAAAAACAGAAGCCGACATTCCCGTCCGCAGGGCAGACAGGCGTTAGACCCGAGCTCAAACATGAGAGAGCATTTAGGTATTGAGCTCCAGAACCTTTTTCTGAGGGTTCGGAGTATGTCTGGTCAGGCCGAGAAGGGCAACGTCGAAGCAGTGCAGCTCCTTGCAAAGTCTGCGCCCGATGGATTTAAGGGTGGGTTTAGTTCGTTTAGGGTATGGATCGCTCGAGGTTGGGAAGTACAGCGGATATTTTCAGGCGTTGGGTGTATGTACTACTTCTGACAAGGCTTTGGCAAGGTACCCCGACAGTCCTTAACATCTTCGTCGATGTAATGTTGCGTCAGCCTTGTGCTGCATGAAACTGAGATAGTCTCGACCTCATGGAAGCAGCGCGACAAACGCGCGAAGAGTTCCAAGATTCTAGGGGCCGGTGATTCACTTGGAATTCGTGGTGGTTCCGGTTGGCCCTTCAGCCCTTCACTCTAACTCCGTCGTGCTGCGGACTGCTTGCCACAAGCAATGCAGTCGCTCTACTTCATGATCTAGACCTTAAAGGCCAAGCGGCTGACAAAACAAGACGCATCCACAAGGAACCTGCAGAAAGCACACCACACGCTACTTGAGGTCCGTGGTGAAGACAAGGAAAGCAGTACAGAGGCTGGAGAAAACGAAGGCCGCAGTGGACTTTGCAAAACCGCGCAGAATTTCAGGTAGCTACATTCAGTTGTTGCAGTTCTGCGGGGCAGACACCGCCGTTTACTGATATGTGGAGTCTTCTTCGTTATGGTTTGCATCATAAAGTCCTTCACTTCTATATGCCATTTTCGAAGCTCAGCTCCGATCTATGCCGTCCGCTGTGGCTCTCCCAAGCCTTGTGGTAAAGACACATCTCAATTTGATGCACCCAGTGCCCCACGACCCAATGGTCGTCGAAAGTATGCTGGCTGGGAAGACAAAGTGATTGGTATCTTCGGGGAATGACTTGTTCTGGCTGTTAGTAGCCATCCAGATGTAATGGAAACATGTGGAAGGTGTGTGCCGCCATGGCTATGATTTTCGAGGCCGGCGCCGCAAAATTGGAGCGGCAACGGCACCCATGCCTTCGAGAAGCGTTCTCTTCGACCGCTGCAGGTGACTTTGTGGGTTCGAGCAGTGATGTCTGGCTCATGAACGGCAGCCAGATGTATCAGCAGGCGCTCAAGGCCAGCTTCTTTTGGTCCTTCGAGAGACCAAATCTGAAGAAGTGGCGCACGCCCTGCAATTCCAGAACTTCGTATTCCTTTATTTCGTTTAAGTTTAGAGTTTAGAGTTGTTCCTTTTTCTTTTCGTGTAAATAAGCCTAACACAATCCTCGTTGGACATGCTGAGACGTGCTGCTCAGGAAGAAAAAATTTTCTGAAGTTGCCCAGCAAATTCTCAGATCGCGAAGAGAGTCGGAGCATATTGGCTCCGAAAGGGGCAGTCATCGCGCTTCACTATGGCCATGATGCCAGCATTGCTGTAGCAAAGCATGGGCGAGTCCAGTGTGTGTTGGAGCTGGAGCGGTTGTTTGGGGAGAGATACTGCTATCCAGCAGACGCAAACCACAGATTTCAACCAATGTTGCGTGAAGCATTGATTGCGTTGCGTGATGGATGCGTATGTGAAGATGGGCCCTGCCCAACCAGGTTTGCAGAAGGGGTTGTGATGGACTTGACATTCTTCAAACCTGCAGTCACGGCACAGGCTCCGCTGCTCGTGGAGGAAATCTTTGGGACTGTTGGGAGATGGCGTCATGTGCATCACCATGAAGGTCATGCGCTGCTCGGCTATCACGCTTCGCCTTTCAATTCTGCCCTCGTGATTTCATACGACCTTGGCGGCGATGATGGACACTTCAATGTTTTCCTGGGCCAGGGAGGTGAGATACAGCGTTTAGCAAAACAACATGCCCCTTTTGGACTTTTCTATTGTGCCTTCCAGACGCTCCTGCCGGATGTAGCAGGCAAGTTCTTCAAGATGACTCACAAGCTTCTTTGTGAGAGATGGCGTGCGGATGAACTTGCCATGGACAATGGTTGGTATGAGTTCGTCGTCTATCACCAGCATGTCCAACTGGATTTTGCTGGCAAGCTGATGGGCTATTCGGGCCTCCGGAAGCCTGGACGGCTCACTTTCCAAGAGCAAGCAGAGGTGGAAGAGTATTTCGATGTATTGTTTCAGGACAAAGCCACAAGGGATTTGAGTTCCTCTTACAGGCTGCTCTTCCCACCACATCTGCTTGCGTTGTCTTGCACGTCCCCCGAGGGACAGATGCGATTAGCTGCCGAGCTCCAATTCCAGTTCCAGCATCGGCTGCTCCTTCACATCCGAAGCTTGTTGAAGCAAGTGAGCCAAGCAAGTGTTCAGGTGGAGGGCATCGTTTTGACGGGTGGCTGCGCTTTGAACGTTCTTGCCAACCAGCTGATTCGAGAAAATCTCACTCAGGGAGCACTTGGCGGTTCCTATGCCGATCATCCCCTGGATGTGTACGTGGCGCCTGCGCCCAATGATGCGGGCCTGGCAGTAGGTGGTGTATGGGCCGTGCAGCCGCCCAGAGTTCCACAAGCACTGCAATACTTGGGTTTGCCCCTGTTCGATGAAGAGATCTTGCCCCTTGAGGCAGAGCGACGCGGTGCGCGGCGCTTGTCGGAGCTGGGCGATGTGGAATTCTTGGCCGAACTCCTCACACAAAATCGCAGTGCCGGGGGCAAGCCCATCATTGCAGTGGTTCGAGGGCGACAGGAATTTGGCCCACGCGCGCTTGGGCACAGGTCACTGCTGGCAGTGCCAGACTCTTATGAGATCAAGAGGCGCCTGAACCGGCTCAAGTTTCGCCAGTGGTACCGCCCTGTGGCTCCAATGATAGCAGTGGAGGCCCTTCAAGAGGTGTTTGGCCGGGTGGTTTTGAGTACGTCCATGGAATTCGCACCACGTGTGCGCAAGTCCGTGCAGGGTCGATTCCCCGCGTTGGCGCACTACGATGGCACTGCGCGGCACCAGTCGGTGAGCAGGGAAGACGAGTCCTGGATTCACTCACTGCTCTTGGCTGTAGGCAGGATAACTGGCTTGGCTGCCTTGATCAACACGAGCTTCAATTCCAGGGGAAAGCCGATCGTGAATACTGTTCGAGAGAGCCTTGAGATGTTGGACACTCTGCCAGATCTTGACTTCTTGGTCATCGAAGGCTGGCTCTTTCAAGCCCCCGAGGCCCGCTGGGGACCAAACTGGGAGCGTTTGCCAGTAGAGTCGAGCTATGTTTGAGCTATATGCCCTGCAGGTCAAGAAGCCAATGCCCGAGCAGCCGGAAACTGTGTGGTCGTTCGGATTCGAGAAAAGAACTGCGAGCTGCTAGCTTGAAGTCTGCGGGTGTTCTATTTCATTCGCTGCAAGCTTCCCGGTTCGGGAAGGCAAGAGCCAAGACAGCTCAGAGGTGCGTTAAGATTCGGAACAGTAGGATTCTTACGTGACGGCCGGGCTGCCGGGCTATTTGTGGCATCCAACACCTGCTAATCGAGGGCTTGAGGCTTCCGAGGCTTTGAATCTCGAACGCCTGGGAGGCCTCCATGGAAGCTGTAAAGCTGCAGCTCACCACGCACATGGCCTCCATCTCCACCAGCGCGTCCATCCGCCTTTCATCGTCTGGCCCTTAGTCATGGTTCCGAGTCTCCGAGTGCTGGAAGTGTCAGTGTGATTCGATTTCGGTTGCAGGAGGGAGAGAGACCTCTTCAAATTGAGGCGAAGATGACACCAATAAGTGCCAGCACGTGCCATGCACAGGTGGATCTCCAATACACAAGCCAAAGTCCAGCACGATCGCAACTGTCGTTTGGCAAGAGCAGATAGTTACTGCTGGTTGTCTAGGCGATATGCCTCGTGAGACGACATAGCTGTATTTGTGATTGACACCGCAATAGTTACAGGTAGAATTCGGGAGACTGCTATCATAGAATAGGGCTGGTTCAAGCCGACGGCTCGTGCTCTCTGGATGTTCAGGGACATCATGCGCAAGATGAATAACATCGCACGTATCCCAGAGATCAGCGAGACCATGAAGGCATGGGCATTGCTGAGTCACAGCTGCCCTACTGCCGGAGATGCCAGAAGAGCCTAGAAATTGAGTAACAACACGCTCTGTCTCCTTGCACCTCATCTCTATTGGCAGTGCTGACCGTCGGCCTGTCTACCACAGTCAGTCCCTCATTGCAAGGCAATCTGGCAATCATGTCCTACGATATGCAAGGAAGCACTAAATGCGATTGATCCAGTGCAAGCACAATACGTGATGCTGGTGGGTCAGTTCAATGTAGCAGATTTTCGCTTCATGTAGCGGAAGAGACGTAGCTGCTAGATTAAAGATGCGTTGTGAACTGGATAGGATGTCCCCTTTTTGCATGCAAATGTGCTATGCAGCGTGTGCCATGCAGACTGTGTTGTCTGAGTCTCGGAGTGTCTCTTTCGCCTTTGCCTTCGGGTTGAGTCTACTGCTTGGAGTCATTGGGCCGCAGGACATGCGGATGCAGATGGCGCAATGTGCTGATGCAGAGGACGGGCCGATGAACCTCTCGCCAAGGGCTTGTGGCAGAATGCAGAGTTTTGAATTCAACCAGTGGAATCTCGCCAAGCCATGCACTTTCGGCTGGGTGGCCAGAGCCTCAAGGCATCTCGAAACTTTGTGCTCGCGCCAGGACAGCATCGAGGAAGCCTTGCGCGAGGACGGCGAGGAGTACGAGGCAGGGCCCACGTTCCTGTATTCAAAGGTTTTGGGAGCAGAGAATTCTCCAGACTCCAGGCGGCCACCGAAGTGCAGAAGGTCCTTGAGGACGCGCCTGTGTAGTGTGCGATAGTCTTGAAGCTCCAGGCAAGCTGTGTTCAAGAGGGCGGTGCGGTGCCTTTATCTTGCCAGGAGATGGCACTGGACCAACTCGGCCCGCTCTCACGGGCAGCAGCAGTCCCAAGCGCAGCGGCAAAAGTACAGGCGAGACGCATGCTCCTAACCCCAAAAGTACCTGACATCGACACCTCCTGACGCTGTTCAGTTTTCGATCCTGCCCCCCGGATTTTGTTCAGGTGAGGAGGATTCAATCACCAGTTTTGTTTCATATAGCTTTTGGTTCTGGGCATGCAGGCACCCGAGCCGGAGAAGGAAGCGCCGCAGAGGCAGCTGATTGCCGTCGGGGCTCGACGCTGAGAACGGGGCTGCAGCTTTGCTGGACTCGGTGGACACGTGCGCACACGGTTCTGTCTGGGGGGTCACGCCCTGGCTGCGGAGCTGGCAAAGTGGCTAGTTCGGATTTTTCATTTGCATACTTGCCTTTCCCTGCCACAGCATTCAGGAATTCAGGCCCGCTTCCACACTTCTGCAGCCAGCCTCCTCCGACATGCAACTCACAGAAGAGGATCTCCAGAAACTGCAGCCCTCAGCATTACGGTGCCCGACTCTGCGCTGCCTCCCATCCCCTTGACATGTGCACCCAGACTACAAGAAACAAGAAACATCAAGCACGCTTGTCTTGTTGTTTCACGACAAAGCCGCGTCGTATTATTAGCGGAGGATTCAAATCGCTGTTGCCGGTTTTCGGGAATGCAAAGACATTGCTTGTATGCATAATCAGGCGCAGACTGCGTAAATTGCAGCCGAAGTGGCAGGGCATGCGTGGCAAAGAACATGGTCTCCCTATCGCAACAGCTGCAAAGTGAGTGTGTTTTCTTGTTGTCCCCACGTTCTCATTTTGCGAGCGCATTTGCCGGCCATGTTTCTTCGCGCGTGTTGCTGAGCGAACGTTTGCAGTAACTGCGGAGCCGAAGAACTCCCGAAGCCCAGGAGGCGGCAGAGCCTGCCAAGCCGCAGGTGCCACCCCCGCAGGTGCCAAGCCCGGCGATTTTTCAGTCTGAGAAAGTTGATCTTGCTTCCAAGAGGTTGCTCGACTAGTTTGCTCATGGTCGATCTGGCAGTCCAATTAGAAGCGTTGAGAGCTTGCACTCGCTTAAAGGTTTGGGGTCGCAGGAATATCATGTCGTCCCGCTCGTAGCCAACGCTCAAGAGTCTGACAATCGTAGCTCATTTGTTGTACTATGCCGATCGCAGTGTTGGCGCCTTGCCGTTACGCAGGTTTTACAATGGGACAGTCGTAACGACATAGCATCAACAAATGCTATCGACTGGTCCTGTAAATCTGAACCGAATGCAGTTGTAGTTTCTTCAGCTGCAGGATACTACATTCCTTCCTTAGTGGTACTGGCAACTGGAATAAGTACAGTACTGCACGATGCCGAGATTTCAGAGTCTTGTGCTCGTGATGCGCAGATCTGTAGTGCTTGACAATACCATGGCAAAGGCATGTGGCAATGACATCATAGCAATAGGATAGCTGAAAGGCGCCATAAGTTTTGATCAACTGAAGTGCGAGTGAGCCAGGCTGCACGATTCTAACTATGACCAGCTAGTTTGTAGTTTTTGAGCGAGGCGTCTATGCAGGAATGGTTGCCCAACAAGCGTAATTGTAAGTTGCGCGAACAAACTTACGAAACAGCTTGCGCTGTGGGGGTGTACCTGCCACTGTGCTGCTCTATGGGCGCTTTCCTCAGACGATGGTCCGAAGGGTGAGTTTGAATATGTATGCAGATGTATGTGTATATACAATGTACATACTTCGAAGGAGTATGTACATGTTGTATACATGTATATGTATAGATACATACATATGGCATACATACATATATATATATATATGGTATATATGTGGTATATGTAATATATATATATATATATATATATATATATATATATCTATGTCTCTCTGCACATATATGTGTGTATACATACACAGTGTGTGTATATATACACATACAAAGATGAATGCATACATGAATACATAAATGAACATATTTGTTTATCTGTCTTTCTATCTATCTACCTACCTATATGCATGCACGTATATGTATACACATACCTACGTCTACATCTGCAGCTGCATAGACATATACAGATACATGCACATGTATATGTACATCTACATATACACAGGCATATATTGGGGTATTGCCCACGCTCCGTACTGTAACTGTTGGATAGCATGTGAAGATGTGTTATGTACAGTCCTTAATACGACCCTTAATATGGACTGTTACAAGGTGGGGCCAGTACCCAACACACATACAGAGACATATATTTGTATATACATACACGTATGAATGCTGTTGAATACATTGTGTATTCGCATGTATAGTATATGAATATGCATATGAATAAGTGTATGTGAATATGAATATATATATATATATATATGTATGTATATATATATAGATAGATTTTTGGATGTGTATAGAGGAGCTACCCCCCGCCCCCCCCTTTGGATCTACCGTTTTTCGTCTTGGTGAAGCAAAAACCATCTGACACGCATGTATGGGACAATGCGGAAGTGACATGTTCGTGGAGTTATCAGATGGTGACGTTGTAGGCCTCCAAAAAGACGATCTTTTCAGCGCCTCCGTGGGAACTCGAAGAGTTGGAAGACCAGCACGTTGTGATCCAGGTTTTTGTTCATACTGTTGAACCTTCTCTGGCCTTCTTTGATCGCCAACATCCTTTCTCAATACTTTCTCGAAGAGCAAACAGGTAGTTCATGAGGGGGTTTACCATATATATATATACACACACATACATACACACATACATACATACATACATACATACATGCATACATACACACATGTGTATGCGCTTGTATATGTATGCATGTACCTGTGTATGTGTATATGTGTATACCTCTATATGTGTGTATGTGGATATGTGTACACGCGTATATGCGTATATGCGTGTATGCGTATATGCGTATGTATGTATGTATGTATGTATGTATCCACGTACACACACACACAAGCATCTCGGCTCTGCGATGAAGGGCCTTGCGATGTTAGGGACATGGACATGGAACTGGTGGCACTGCACGGGACCAACAAGATCCCCCGGACTCCTGCAGCCCTTTTGTTCTTTGATCCTTTGGGCAATTTTGTGGAGTACTATGTTCTGGGCTTGCTTACGCACCTCTGGAGCTTTGCCCCTCAAACTGAGCTGTTCAGACGTCAGGGTATCCTCCGTGCTCGCTGGGTTTCCGCAGGTGCTTTCCGCATTTGGTTTGATGGCTGGCTCTTATTGGGCAATACAGGGCGGCTGCTACTTCTCTGCAAAACTATGGAGCATTATCAGGAGTTTGGGTGCTGCATGCTCAGGCTGTGTGTGCTCATGTGGCACCTTGGCTGGACAGTCTGGACTGAATGGAGTGTGAGCATCAACCTTGACCGCTCCCTCCATGGGGCTGCTCAACTGGCTCGCAGAAGGCCACATCACCGGGACAATGACCTGGAGGTGGCACGTTGCATGCCGTTCCTGTTCTGGGGAACATGCTGCTGCATCGGCGGGTATGTGCATTATCGGCTGTGCCTGTGCTTGATTCAGGCGACCAGGCCGTCCACCCACCCTCTCTTCTTGAGCTGTGCAGTGTGCCCACGGCATGTTCACGGCATGTTCCACGGTCTTTCGGATTGCAGCTTGCACCTTCCGACACGCATGCTGGCATGTCCTTGCACAGCGGGCTCAAAGCGTACAGCAGCACTTGTAGGACTTGCGGAAGATGGCCGACCTCGAGCTAGGCTCAGCCCCGGAGAGCCCTAACACCGAGGACATTCTTGATGCTCTCCCGGCCACGGACTCTGATGATGCACCGTTGGTTCCGCCTCCGGCAGATGCACCCCCTCGTGGACCGCCGCCTCCCACGGCGGTTCAGTTCCACTATGCCGAGCGGAGTCGGTCCTTGCATTTATCCTCGAACATCGCGAACTCTTTCAACGTCCGGGGGCAGAACTCTAAGCTAGTGCTTACCATAGTGGACCCAGAGATCCCACTGACGGGGGACATTGGCATAGGATGCAGGCCATTAATGCCTCACACCCTACACTCTCTGGACCTCGAGCCCTACTAGCTCTGAACAGGACGAGACCAGGGGCTCCGAGCGGGAAGCCGGCAGTCTCATTTCGGCGGAGGAAGCCAACGAGGCACTTCGAAGTAACTTGTCTCCAGCTGAGATGGCGGCCCTTGACGAAGCCACTGCCGAGCTCCCGTCGCCGCCCCGCCCGAAGGCTACACGGACAGTGGCTATCAGCAGTGCAGGTTCGTCGGGCGTGACCTCCTCGGCACCCAAGCCTTCCTCCCGCTTTGCCATCGAGGAATCTACACCCAAGTCCGGCACTCATTGGGGGTTCAGACCAGTTGTCAAGCTCGAGAACCCGGCTCCCCCAGTCAACAGGGAAACAGCATGCACCAACTCAGGCGCCGACGCACAGAGGCATCTGAGTGATAGGCTGCAACGACCTGAGGCCTGTCACAGAGTCGCACACTCCTTGCAAGTAGCCTGACCTGGCCTTCATGCCTGTGCGCCTCTACGGTGCCCATTGGACAAGTACTGGAGCTGCTCGCCATCACAAAAAGGGAATGCACTTCCCGAACTGTGTGATTGGGTCTGAGTGGTCCTCTCCTACCTTGAGCACGGCCAGGTACGGTATGCCCAGCTTCTCGCGCGCTTGGCCGGTGACCCTATTCTTCTTGCTCTGTTTTATCACTGAGAAGATTGCCCTGTGTTTGCCCAGGTTCCCACCAACCTGGCGGTGCAGACGATCCGTGCAGGACAATGTGCGGACCAAAGACTTCAGCTTCCCTTGGCGATGGCTGTATTCCCCAGTTGTCTTCGTCCTCCGTGCGCAGGTTGGTCGTCTTCTGCTTCTCTTTGTCCTTGGAGGTGCGATGCAGACGACCCTCACCTTATTGATACGGAATGTCCCTACACACCTCGGAGCCACTTCATCGTGCAGGCGCCCAGTTCCTCGATGCACTGGTGCCCGCCCTCCGAGAAGCCGCCTGGGTCCCAAGTCCCAGGGTTGCACTCCAATCACTTGTCTACTGTTGTGGAAAGTTCTCTTCGCCTATGCCTTCATGAACATGTTCAGGCTTGCGAGTGCAACAGATGCGAGGGTTATGCTTCCCGAGCACCACGGAAGCATTGAAGCCAATCGACAAAATTGTCACTTGTCCTATAGAGGGGCGAAGCCATTTGGTGACCGGAGTTATGTGGCCCGGCAATTAGGTGGCACCCAACCAATTCGGAAGCGGGCCTTTCAAAGGGCCCTGCGCAGAGCGCAATGCAATGAGCACCACACCACCACTTGCAGAGGCAGGACCTTTCATCTTCATCAGCTTCAGCAGGCCGGACATGGCACACAAACAACTCCTCAGGCGGATTGGTCATCTCACAAAGATCCAAGTGCCCATGGTGACTGCCTCAGAGTGGTCTCCTGGAATGCAGGCGGACTGGCCAGTCACACCTACTGCGAGGTGCTGACCTGGCTGCAGCTGGAACACGAGGCCAAGAGCATCCTCCAGGAAACAGCGTGGCAGGAGGACATGGAGTACTCGACAAGCTTTCAGGCTGCTCATGCTGTCAACTGGCATGTTGTCCATGCCACGGGCAAAGATCGAACCGGTATCATGTGCATGGTACGGAAAGGCTTGGTCCAGGCGGACCAAATCCGAACATCCAGTGTGATCCCTGGTCGACTGCTACATGTCAGGCTGCTCTTCCGTGCCCCGCTGGATGTCCTTTGCATTTACCAGCACGCATGGAATCTGCAGAACTCCGCACTACGAGGTGCCAACAAGAAGGAAGCCCTGCTGGCACTCCGCAAGAAGGTCTGGAATGCGGTTGACAAATGGCTCGTACAGGTCCCACAACGCCACGGCTGTGTCATTGTAGGTGACTTCAACCTCACGGTCCACCAGGAGGACCACATCTGTGGCACTGGCAGTCCGGACCAAGGCCCGCCACGTCCAGACCAAAGTGTTCTCATGGACATCTTGCGGGCACATCGGTGCTGTGTTCTCATCACGTGGCAGAGACGTGGGCTAGCTAGCCGTACTTACCTGCCTCCTGGGGCGGGATGACAGGCACTATGGCACTCAGATCGACCTGGTGATCCGCCGAGGCCATATGTCGACAGCATTTCCAAACAGTCTCCACCCTTTGATGCTCCCTTTGTCCCAGGCAGTGGCTGTCGGCGTCGCCCTCTTCAAGCTTCTCTGCCGCGACCTCGCAGACCCACTCAGGTCTCCTTTGGAGCCCCGCTCAAACCACACCAGGTCAGACAGCAACTCGCGCAACCGGGCTTTGCGCCGTTCCTCTACCAGGCCACGGCAAATAGCCTCCAGGAGATCTCCGGCTCAGAATCCATTGATGCCATGCTGCTTACAGGATGGAACCTCTCGGTTTAATAATGGTTGGCGGTACGGGCCCCACAGGACCCCGACACTGCCACGGACCATGAAGGCCCCCTGACCCTCCGAGTTCAGGAAATGTGGAGCCTACGCTCCCGCCTTCAGCAAGCTGGCCACAATCTTTACGAATGGCATCGTCACGGTCCCAGAGCCCGACATACCTTTCAGGCGTGGGTGCTTGCCACCCGGCTGATGCGACACACTCGTGCCCTGCGCAAGGCGTGCCGCCTTCGCAAGACGGCTGTTGTGGCAGAGGTGGTTGCCTCCTCCAACGTGTTCCAGGCAGCCAAACGCTTTGGTCCCAAGGCACCTCGACGACGATTACAACTTCGTCGGGAAAACGGAGGCCTGCAAACACACGAGGAAGAATTTGCACAAATCAAAGACTACTTCACTGCCTTGTACCATGCCCCGCAGGAGATCAAGCAACCTGCCCTTACCGAGGACCTCAACTTCTCGAAGCAGGAGATCCACATGGCGATGCGAAGGATCTAACCGGCCAAGGCCATGCCCACTAGCAGTGCTCCGTCTATGCTGTGGAAGTTCTTTGGCCCTGACGTGATTCGACCTCTATCTCGGCAATTTGCCCAGGTCCTCGTTGCTGGCTGCACGGCCCTGCCAGAAGCCTGGAACATCAGCGAGCTCATCCTGATCCCCAAGCCGAACAAAGCATTGAGCACCCCTGCTCACTTGAGGCCAATATGCCTCCTTCCTTTGCAGTCTAAGCTCATCGCGGCGGTCTTGGCAGGACGTCTCCAACTATTCGTTGCCCGTTTTCTTCACGACCTCCCTCAACTTGCATATGTCCAACAAAGGACCATGTCCCAGTGTCTTGAACGAGCCGCAGCGCGCTGCGCAACTGTCAGGAACCTCATCCAGCAGCATGCTCCTACGCTCTACACCAAGAGGCAAGGACGCCCTGACCTTAGGCTTTATGGCGGGTGTCAATTGTCACTTGATATCTCATGCGCGTATGATCATGTACCCAGACCGGAACTGGAGCAATCTCTCCTTGCGGCACAGGTGCCAGAGGCACTCATACAAGCAGTCCTCCTGATCCACGAGCAAGCCCAAATCAAGATTAGCCACGGCGGCCAGGTAGCCTGCATTCGTCTGAGACGTGGATTGAGGCAGGGGTGTTCGTTATCGCCTCTGCTTTGGGCGACGTATAGCGGCTTTGTGCTACAGCACCTCCACCAGCCGGGCGTACTGGACATACCCAAGAACAGCAATGTGTACGCAGACGACAAACACTTTGCATGGGTTATTCGGTGTGGCAAGGACATGGAAAACGCCTACGCAGCGATCAAACATGTCCTTGCAGGCCTGCTCCGCTTCGGCCTCAAAATCAGCTTTGACAAAACAGTGATCCTGTTAGAATTTCGTGGCCCGGAGGCGGTGAACACCATGACTCGGTATGTGGTGCCACTGAGAAAGGCCCGCGCATGAAATTCACCATCGAGGGCAAGCCTGTGTTCATTCGCCTAGTAACACAACATGTCTACCTGGGTGCGATCATAAGCTGAAGGTTCGAATCCCAGAGCTTCAAGCATCGGCTCCAAATTGCCAAGAACGCCTATTCGAGGCTGAAATCTGTTCTCCGGAATCGCTCCGTTCCGCTGCACCTGCGACTTCAGCTGTGGAGAGGCTGCATCTGGCCGGCTGTTTTACATGGCCTGGACTGCACCGGTCTGACCCACAGTGACCACCAGACATTGCATGTTGAGCTCATCAAACAAGCCAGGGCCATAGCCAACTCACACTCGATGTTCACCAAGGAGTCCAATGTGAATTTCCTTCAGCGTCTCAAGTTGCCTGATCCGGTGGCCAGGCTTAGAGATTCCCTTCAACGTCGTGGCATACAAGACCAGCTGCTGGGCCCAGGTCTGCAACCAACGGAGGAACAGCTCCAATGGAGAGCCCTTCTGAGCGGGCAATTTGCGGAGACTGAGTCCAATGCCTGGAACATGCAGCCGTCCACCCAGCCCAGCACAAAGCTAGTATGTGTAGACAGTGTCGTCCATGAGAAGTTCAGCTGTGACGTATGTGGTCAAGAGTTCACTACCCCGGCTGTGCTCAAAAAGCACATGTTCAAGTCCCACTTTGATCAGCAACAGCGAGATGACCGCACTGAGGAAGTTCAGGAATCACGCAAACGATCAAGCATGGTGCACTCCCTCGACGGTATGCTCCAATGTCGTCATTGTAAACATGCTTTCGGGACCTGGCACGAGTTCTTTTGCCATGTCAGCTCTCGTAGCTGCCAGATGCTACGCTCCATATACGATCAGCCCGACCCAGAGACCACCATGCTTCCCCTCCTCAGTGATGCCGTGATTGATTCCGAAGAAGTGCTAGCTTTGGCCAAAGACTGCACGTGGCAAGATTTGGCACAACTCCCCTTGGTTCGACAGAAACACCATCACTGCATTGAATGTAATCACTGGGGTGTACGTCCTCAATATGTTCGTCGGCATATGCTGGCCATGCATCCTGAACGGGAGCCTCTTTTGAAAAAGTGCATCAGTGACATTCAGAAGAGCAACATTAGTGTGGTGAGCCCTTGCCAATTCTGTGGCGTCGTCTTCTTCAGGAGAGATGCCCATCTTCGCTCGTGCATAGGCATCTTCAACGAAGTGTATCTCCACTGCCGTCTTGCTCGAGGTAGGGCTCTTGATCTTGCTGGAGGCTCAGGACAGCCAGGGGAGGCCGGCCTTGCTAAGCATGTTCGAAAACATGTTCGAACCCAGTCCCGGACGAGCTCAAGACGGCGACCCAGGACCTCAACCTGCTTAAGTCACTCCTGCCGGCACTGAACCTGTCGGAGCATGGACGTGGACCCGGAGGAGTTCCAGGACCTGGACGATCGCCCCCCCAAGTGGCAAACGCCGGGACCCAAGGGAGGCCAGCACCAAGGCGGCGGAAAAGGCAATCAGCCGAAGGGGGGCCAAGCCGGGACCTCCGCACGCTGTTGGGGAGGCAAGGATCGGGCCAACACCGTCCCAACAAGCACTGGCAGACGGCACCTTGGCATCAGCCAGCTTCGGGACAGACCCAGGACGGCGAGCTGACGAAGCGGCAGAACAAGCAGCTTGCGGAGCTGAAGGCCATCGTGAGCATGTTGACTACCCTGATCCTCAGACAGGAGATTCAACTCAACATCCACAAGCAGGACACCTCCTATGTGGTATTCATCAACACGCAGGAGCAGCTGAGCCTGGCACATACCCTGCATGGAGTGGGCGTACAATGGCACAAGGTGAAACAGGAAACCCCGGATCAGCTACGCCACCCGATGCGGGTGGTCATGTTCCAGCACTTTGTCGAGGTGGTCCAGACAAGGTTCCTTCGCATGATTGCCAGCCCGTCCTCCCGCTCACAGGCTGCCGAACGAGGCCTCTTGCAGGAGAGCGATGGCAAGATTCCTGCCCTCCGCTGGGACCCCAATCTGAAGAAGCATGTCAAGGACGACCACATCGAGGCCTGATCAGCGAGGCCTTGCAGCCGCTACTGGTGCTCTGTACAAGGGACAGGGTGCTGATGCGATTCCACGGGATGAGGAAGCTCTCTGACGAGTACGCCTCACCCACGCTGGGGATGTTTCTGGAAGTGGGCACCCGGATCGAGGAGGCTCAGGAGTCCTGGAACCTGTTGCATCGCCTGAGCCAATCAGCCACCTGGCTCTCGGCGGGATGCTTCATGAGACACGAGCGCCTCCACCTGAGTGCCGTAGCGAAGCGGCTTGCAGCGGTGTCACAGTGAGGTCCATGCGACTTGGAAATCTTCAGAACTTCTGCTATTCGATTGCTGTGATTAAGGCCCTGCTTCACCTAGCCTGCCAGTGTGGTTCACTGTCTGCCGTGTTTGCCAGCCAGCATCACAATTTCCTGACAGCCACCGCCCGACGTTCCTACACGGCTGTTGTCCATTTGTGGCAACACCCGCTTTGGCTCTCCATCGTGAGAGGATGGAAGCAGCCTGCCAGGCAACATGATGCTGCGGAGTTCCTTCAACACATTTGTCGTAGCTCGCTTGTGCTTAATGACAACATCGAATGTGCATGACAGGCCAGACTGGGCGATAATGACTCGTTCAGGATAGATGATTGTGGCCAATCCGCGCCGGTCATACTCCTGCCCCCTTCTGCGAAGCACGAGGGTGTTCAATATGGTGTCTCTGTTCAGGATTTGATTGATCTGGCACGGGAAGGAGCAAGTCCACGCAATGGTCACGGCCTCTCGAGCTTTGATCCTGCAAGCTAACCGTTTCAATTTTGCGGCCGATACCCATCGTACCACCAAAAGACGCTATTCTATTCATTCTGATAGCTTCATTGATTTCCCCTGTTTTATCGACGGTACTAGTGTTGCGTGTTGTCAGGTGCGGTATCGACTCAGTTCAGAGGTGACTCACTTGGGCGATGCCCCAACTCACTCCCATTACCAAGTTCTTATTTATGATGATGATGCCCAGACTGTTCGATTGGCAGATGATGGACATCCGGCCCTTCGAATCACGACGGAGCAACAGGATGATATGAACGGTGATACCTACTTATTTACTTATGTTCGTTGTTAACCTCATGGCCGGTCCCGCTTTTGGGTACAAGTACCGGGGACACTTTTGCTTAGCTTTCTGTGGTTGGGTGGAGGATGTGCGCTTTAAAGCACAGCCAAGCCGGGGCATCTAGGCCCTGTCCTCCTGTACGTAGCAAAGACTTGGACTTTGCAGCGATGAAGGTGAAAAAAATGAAAGTACACACACACACACACGCACACATACATACATACATACATATGTATGTATGTATGTATGTATGTTGACCAGTTGCATAATGTACATTGTTTTGCTTATCTTGCTTCTGTAGAATGGTTCACTTATGACTCCCGGACCCCAACCGCAGGCACCGCAGGCACCACCTCCACCGCCCCCGCCACCTGCACCTGCAGGCTACGGAGGCACTGGCAGCGAGTTTTTTTGCAGACTTTGCTCAGCGATTATCCGCGACTTGAAAGGGCTCAATGCATGGCACATGCACAGGTGCCCCTGCACCTGTACTTCCGGCAGCCCCGGCTGCAGGTGCCCAGAGCATGTTCTCGAAGTTTTTCATGCTTCGGGAGAGCGTCACATCCTTTTTTGCCAAGTGACGAGACCGTGACCACATCAATCTGAAGGACCCTCTTGTGTTGGAACTTCTGAGGCAGCAGGCTCCGGTTCTGGGGCTTGAGGCCATTCCTTCTCGTTCCAAGTCAATTCTCATGCTTTTGAGTTCCAGCTCTTCCTCGGCAAGGGCAGCTGGTACACTTCCACTTCCAGGTCATGTCGTTTGGGTTGACGATTTTGGCAGTGGTCACCAGGCGATGACGACTTCCTGAAGCGACTAGAAGCGGCTTCTGGCGCCCCGACAGCTCTTGCGCCCGGCACGGCCTCATCACCGACAGGCCGGTATCAAGCGCAACACTTTCAGCAGTCCCCTTCACACCCCTCGACGACTTGCAGCAGTACCCTCGAACGCATGCAGCTGAAGCCAGGGAGCACGTGCGAGGAATCAGGTCGGTTTCCAAGTGCAATGTACAGTAGGGCCCCGTCGAGCGAACAACACACGATCATCAGGTGGCAACAGTGCAGGAGGCGGCAGCAGCGCGGACGACGATCTCATGAAGCGTCTCGAGTATGTTCCTCAGGGGCATGGTCAAGTGGGATCAGAGCTTGTTTTGCTGCGGTTCCGATGTTGTAGTTGCAGCACGCTCGTGGCATGCTAGGGCTGTCAACCAGCTCCAGTCTCCAATTAGGTTAAGAGTTTTCTCTTGGCCCCACGTCAAATTCGCAGATGGGATTGCGTCGACGCTCGGCTCTAGTCACTCGCTGTTCTGACCTTCTGGGAGCCTTTTGGCCAGTGAAGCCCAAAACGGTAGGATCGGAGTGCTTTACCCGGAAGCCCATTGAGCCTTTGAGACCCCCCTCTCGTGATGACCGCCCCCTCAGAATGCTGAAAAAGCCGTGAAGTTGGAATGGCATGTCGGTGAGAGGACCGGGCCACATTGAGAGTTTCGGGCTTGGGGTATCGGCAGCATCATGGCAGTAGCAGTAGCAGTAGCAGTTGGAGGTAGCAGGTAGCAGGTAGCAGGTAGCAGGTAGCAGGTAGCAGGTAGCAGGTAGCAGGTCGCAGGTCGCAGGTAGCAGGTCGCAGGTCGCAGGTAGCAGGTCGCAGGTGGCAGGTGGCAGGTGGCAGGTGGCAGGTAGCAGGTAGGCAGGTAGCAGGTAGGCAGGTAGCAGGTAGGCAGGTAGCAGGTAGCAGGTAGCAGGTAGCGGGTAGCGGGTAGCGGGTAGCGGGTAGCAGGTAGCGGGTATAGCGGGTATAGCGGGTATAGCGGGTATAGCGGGTATAGTGGGTATAGCGGGTATAGTGGGTATAGCGGGTATAGCGGGTATAGTGGGTATAGCGGGTATAGCGGGTATAGCGGGTATAGCGGGTATAGCGGGTATAGCGGGTATAGCGGGTATAGCGGGTATAGCGGGTATAGCGGGTAGCGGTAGCAGGTTGCAGGTAGCAGGTAGCGGTAGCAGGTAGGCAGGTAGGCAGGTAGCAGGTAGCAGGTAGCAGGTAGCGGGTAGCGGGTAGCAGGTCACAGGTAGCAGGTCGCAGGTGGCAGGTGGCAGGTGGCAGGTGGCAGGTAGCAGGTAGGCAGGTAGCAGGTAGGCAGGTAGCAGGTAGCAGGTGGCAGGTGGCAGGTGGCAGGTAGCAGGTAGCAGGTAGGCAGGTAGCAGGTAGCAGGTAGCAGGTAGCGGGTAGCGGGTAGCGGGTAGCGGGTAGCAGGTAGCGGGTATAGCGGGTATAGCGGGTATAGCGGGTATAGCAGGTATAGTGGGTATAGCGGGTATAGTGGGTATAGCGGGTATAGCGGGTATAGCGGGTATAGCGGGTATAGCGGGTATAGCGGGTATAGCGGGTATAGCGGGTATAGCGGGTATAGCGGGTATAGCGGGTATAGCGGGTATAGCGGGTATAGCGGGTAGTAGCGGTAGCAGGTTGCAGGTAGCAGCAGTAGCAGCAGGTAGCAGGTCGCAGGTAGCAGGTAGCAGGTAGGCAGGTAGCAGGTAGGCAGGTAGCAGGTAGCAGGTAGCAGGTAGCGGGTAGCGGGTAGCGGGTAGCAGGTAGAAGGTAGCGGGTAGCGGGTAGCGGGTGTAGCGAGCGGGTACAGCGGGTATGGCGGGTATAGCGGGTATAGCGGGTATAGCGGGTATAGCGGTTATAGCGGGTATATGGCGGGTATAGCGGGTATAGCGGGTATATAGCGGGTATATAGCGGGTATATAGCGGGTATATAGCGGGTATAGCGGGTAGCAGTAGCGGTAGCAGGTAGCAGGTAGCAGGTAGCAGGTAGCAGGTAGCAGGTAGCAGGTAGCAGGTAGCAGGTAGCAGGTAGCTGGTAGCTGGTAGCAGGTAGCAGGTAGCAGGTAGCAGCAGCAGCAGCAGCAGCAGCAGTAGCCGTAGCAGTAGCAGTAGCAGCAGCAGCAGTAGCAGTAGCAGTAGCACTAGCACTAGCACTAGCACTAGCAGTAGAGCAGTAGAGCAGCAGAGCAGCACAGCAGCAGAGCAGCAGAGCAGTAGACTCAGTGGAGCAGTAGAGCGGTGGAGCAGTAGAGCAGCAGAGCAGTAGACTCAGTGGAGCAGTAGAGCGGTGGAGGAGTAGAGCAGCAGAGCAGTAGACTCAGTGGAGCAGTAGAGCAGTAGAGGAGCAGCACTGGCAGTGGCTCAGCAGCAGCAGCAGCAGCTCAGTAGCAGTCGCTCAGTAGCAGTAGTTGAATAGCAGTAGCTTGGCAGTAGCTCAGTAGCAGGCTCGTAGCAGGGCTCGTAGCAGCAGTAGCAGTCAGTAGCAGCAGTGGTAGGATTAGTAGGAGTATAGGAGTAGTAGGAGTTGGAGTCGTCGTCGGGTAGTAGTAGTAGTAGTAGTAGTAGTAGTAGTAGTAGTAGTAGTAGTAGTTGTATAAGTAGTGGCAGTAGTGGCAGTAGTAGAGTAGTAGTAGTTGTAGTAGTAGTAGTAGCAGCAGAAGAAGTAGTAGAAGTAGTAGTAGTAGTAGTAGCAGCAGTAGTAGTAGTAGTAGTAGTAGTAGTAGTAGTAGTAGTAGTAGTAGTAGTAGTAGTAGTAGTAGTGGTAGTGGTAGTGGTAGTGGTAGTAGTAGTAGTAGTCGTCGTGGTGGTGGTGGTGGTAGTAGTAGTAGCAGCAGCAGCAGAAGCAGTAGCAGCCGAGGTATCCGACGATCGTTTCCTGTGTTGGTCTCGAAATGACAACCTGTTACAATCCTCTCGGTGTTACCTTTTCGGGAGGTGCGATCCTAAAACATGCCTTCACGGTGGTCTCGACATGACGATCCTTCGGCGCGCTGGTGGTGCCACAGTGGATGGATGAATAGATGGATGGGTGGCTGGATATTCAGACCGCTTCGATAGAGGGGTGGGGGGGGTTGTTGTTCATGGATTTGGGGAACAACAACCCCCCCCCCCCCCCACCCCCCCCCTTGTTGTTCCCATTTTGAGAGAACAATAACACCCCCCCCTTTTTCTTTCCCTTCGTTAAACAACAACCCCCCCCCCCCACCCCCCCCTGTTCTTCGAACCCCCCCCCCCTGTTGTTCAACCCCCCCCCTGATGTTCTTCCCTTCGAACAACAACCCCCCCCCCCCTTTGTTGTTCACCCTCCCCCCCCCCTTCCCGCGCCTCCGCCCACGCGGTTTTCCATGCCCCCCCCCCCCCCCTTGTTGTTCCCCTTTTGAAGGAACAAAACCCCCCCCCCCCCTTGTTGTTCCCCTTTTGAAGGAACAACAACCCCCCCCCTGTTGTTTCCCTTTTGAAGGAACAATAACCCACCCCCCCTTGTTGTTGCCCTTTTGAAGTAGTCGTAGTAGTAGTAGTAGTAGTAGTAGCAGTAGTAGTAGTAGTAGTAGTCGTCGTAGTCGTAGTAGTAGTAGCAGTAGTAGTAGTAGTAGTCGTAGTCGTAGTCGTAGTCGTAGTCGTAGTAGTAGTACTAGAAGTACTCGTCGGGGGGGGGGTTGTTCTTTGCAAAATCCATGAACAACAACCCCCCCCCAGTTGTTCTTCCCCTTCGTTTCTTCGAACAACAACCCCCCCCCCTTGTTGTTCAACCCCCCCCCTTGTTGTTCAACCCCCCCCCCCTGTTGTTCTTTCCACCCCCCCCTTGTTGTTCCCCTTTTTGAAGGAGCAATAACCACCCCCTTTCAACAACAACCCCCCCCCCCCATTGTTGTTCAACCCCCCCCCCTGTTGTTCTTCCCTCGTTTCTTCGCACAACACCCCCCCCCCCCAACCCCCCCCCCGTTGTTCTTCGAACAACAACCCCCCCCCCCCCCATTGTTGTTCAACCCCCCCCCCCCCCCGTTGAAGAACACCCCCCCCCCCCCCCCCCCCCATTGTTGTTCAACCCCCCCCTCCCCGCGCATCCGCCCACGGGGTGGGGGGGGGTTGTTGTTCCCCAAATCCACGAACAACAACCCCCCCCACCCCTCCCTATCGAAGCGGTCTCTGGATCTCTGGATATTCGGATGGACGAGGCGATGGATGCATGGGTGAATGGATGAATGGATGGGTGGATAGATGACATGATGTCCGGTGCTACCTCGCCGCTCTAAACCCTGTCGAGACACTCGTTCTGTAGTCTGTCGCGTGGACGGGTGTGTGCAGCCACAGAAAGACACCGGCCTGGCTTGCTTTCTTCGTGGTTTATCTTTCGCTGTATGTACAATCGAACACACAGTCACGCGGTACACAACAGAAGCACCCATCTACCTGAGCAGCACTGTAAAGGGCGTGCCTCATGGAAAACATCGCAGGATTTTCCGCCGAGTGCTGATGAAGATGCAGACAAGGGGCCCTTTGTTTGCAAGTGAGAGAAGGAGAGTGGGCTCGATAGTCATTAACACCTGCGTCTGGAGTAGCATAAGGAATATCGCTGCGAATCTCCAGGCATGGATCCGACGTTTGTAGCCCAAAGTCGAACCGCTAAAGTGCAAGCTTATCAGCGATGGCATTAAGTGCTTTTCCGCTCTTCAGTAGACAACTGCTCGTCCTGGACCGCCTATCCCAGGTTTGCTCTCCTTTTGCTGATGTTGAAACTGCTGGGCCTTGCCACAGCTGTACAGAGACGGCCGCACCGTGGCCTTGATAATGTTGCGGTGTTAAACACCGGTGCCACAGAGCCACGAAAGCTACCAGGGCTTTGCGATGGATGGTTTCCGCGGCTCCCAACTGACGCAATGTTTATCCATGTATGCGGATGTGAAGATCCTGCCGTTTGTTTGAGGGCTGCGGTTTCTCTACAACTCAGCAGGGCAAATTGAGAGCTGCGCGTGAGCTGCGAAGGATCTCGACGAGGTCACTGCGCAAAGGAAAGGAAACGAACAATGGACTGTCGGATCCTTTGCTCCGGAGCTTCAAACTGAGCACTTTCGTCGAAATCTCTCCACCGGAACATGTCGAGGGCCCAGACTTGTCGAAAGGTGGCTGTCAAGCCATCACGATGAATGTCGAATTTCGAGCCAAAGCCTTCCCTGCTTGGGCTTATCAAAGCCTGGACTGCAACATGTTCTCGATGTCGTGAAGACCTAGAGGTTTGAGCTGACAGGTAGTGTCTTAGTTTTTGCAGAAAGCAGGTCTCTCTCTGCCATGCTGCATAATGCTCGCGTGCTCCCTGTGTCAGTATCGAGGCAAAACACCCAACTACCAGGCTGAACCATAATTGAGTGTGTTTGATACCGCATTCTACAGAGTTGGGATCGTGTCTGCGGAAGAACCTTCCAGACGCCAAGCCAGCGAGCCTTCTGGGCGATTGCAGTGTTGGTAAGCCACCATCGCGCACGAACATACACAGACAACAAAGCTGTGCCTGAAGCAGCATCGCTCGAACAACCGAACCCCCAGAGTTGGATCACTTAGCTGCGGTGCAGCGGCGAGCCCATGACCCTGCAATGCGAACTCCGGCATCCTCGGCTTGGGCATCCAGTCGAGCGCGGGCTGTGCGAGAGGTGCCGCCACCACCGGCTGCGAGCTCCCGTGAGCTGCTGGCCTCGGAGCTGGCGGAGGCGCAGTCGGCGCTGGCGGCGCTGCGGGGCCGGCTGCGGGGTACCCGCGAGGCAACCGCGGAGCTCCGACGTCGCTGTGCCACGGAGGAGGCCGAGGGTCCTCGGCGCCTCCGGAGGGCCGAGGAACGAGCGGCGGAGCATTGCCAAACCAACCACGAGCTGCGGCAGCTGCAGCACGCCTTGGTGCAGGTCCGGACAGACATAGTATAAGATGACTAACCAAGTTGCTGCACAGCCTAGAATTCCTTGCGTTGAGCATTGAGCATTGAAGATTCGACGGATATCTTTTTTGGGATTCTTCAGTTTTCCATTTTGAAGCAACGAGAATTTCCAGCATGACTTTATTTCTGATCGAGTTTTCCCGGCTGGCCCACGAACTCGACTGGCTGCGGGGATTAAGGGCTCTGGGTGGGCTAGTGATTTACAGGTCGCATGGCTTAGTGACTGGGGCTAACTAAAGTGTCACTGTGGACTTGCAACAAGGATCACACCGGCCATTGCAGATGATGATTCCTTTCCACTGGCTGCATCAGGTGTTGTGAGGACGATAGCAGACTAGATGCTATTTCTGCATGGGCTTGCATGACTTCTTGGAAACGAAATATTAAGGAATGAGCGATGGGATTCACATCAGCATGAAGAGGAGGTATTTATTCATAGGGCTGTGAATCGAAGTACTCAGTGGTGCCCGGTTTCTATTCGCAGCACGGCAGACACCACGTTGCCGTGAATCCGGACTCCATAACAAGGATAAAGTTCGGGCATCGCAAACGCAACTTGTCAGGCTTCAACCATTGTCCCGATACTCCTGTGCACCGATTGGTTGAGGCCGTACGGGCGGCTTAATGACATTGTCAACACAGTCATACTGGCAACGTCCATGGATTAATAAATAGGTAGGATCCACAACCGCCCTGTGGGAGCGGAATGAATGGGTTGATGGGCGAATGGTTTCAACCACTGACCAAATGAGTGGTCCGTCGCCAAATCAAGCGTGGTGTCTGACGATACCAGTAAACAACCCCGAGCTAAACCAGAAACTTCCCGTCGAACCCTTGCCCAGGACTGAATAGGCATTCCAACTAACAGATACCTGGCGGGTGGAAAAGAGGGGTTAACAAAACAAAAGACACATGTCAACGGTTTAGGGGCCTGGCTAATCATACGGGCAAAGTGACTCTGTTGAAGCAGTGGCTGCGCGGCCACATTGTTATGCAATGGCTGTTTGCAGCAATACTGCCTCTAGGGTTCCTTGCATCGCCACTGCATCCGGAGAGGGGGAGCCAGAGGGAGGTACGAGCTAAATCTTTTGGCCGATATGTTGGAATGCTGCAGCTGCTTCGATCGCCACAGATGTATTCAGGATTGCACCCTTGGAATTGCACTCTTGGAAAGTGCAGCAGGTGGGTCGGCGACACCAGACCGTTCGGGAAACGTCCGCAAGCAATCTCTACGCACAATGGCGGGCTGCCCTTGATGCTCACGTGCGTTTCGGAGGCGCGGATGAGATGAAGGGATTGCAGCTTTCAGCGGTTGGAAGCCGAGATGTTGGCAATGGGAACGAAGGCTAGGCTGGGGCTCAAGCCTGTCGGAGGCTTGCTTGACGTGGAGGACTTCCCGTTTGCGGCCTTCCTCAAACAGGCGGAAAGAGGAACTGCAAGTTGTCCAACTGAGTCCTTGGGCTTGTTAGGGCTGCGCATGCGATCTTCAACAAGACAGCCTCGGACCGTTGCATTCCGTGATGTTCTGGCAAACGCTTCTTTTTTGCATGCGTTACTTACAAGCAGTCTCAGCAGCACTCGCTTCAGAACCTTAGAAATTCTTGGAGTTTTGTTGTTTGCTCGTTTATAGTCCACTGGTACATCACTACGGCCCTCGACAGTTGCACCGATTATATAGCGTGGGCTTTTCCGCTATCGTAGTGAAGCAAGTGTATCAGCCACAGATCACATCAAAGAAACGAGTGGGAATGGTGTGTCATAAGAGATGAACAGAACAGATTTGCGTCCTGCGCCGACTATTGATCCAGCGACGACAACAGCAAGGACGACAGCTGCACTCTCATGTCATGCCGCTACTACTACTCCTGCTGCTACTACCACTACTACTACTACTACTACTACTGCTACTACTGCTACTACTACTACGACTACTACGACTACTACGACTACTACTACGACGACTACTACGACTACTACTACGACTACTACTACTATACTACTACTACTACTACTACTACTACTACTACGACTACGACTACGACTACGACGACGACGACGACTACTATACTACTACTACTACTACTACTAGTACTACTACTACTACTACTACTGCTACTACTACTACTACTACTACTACTACGACTACTACTACGACTACTACTACGACTACTACTACTACTACTACTACTACTACTACTACTACTACTACTACTACTACTACTACTACTACTACTACTATACTACTACTACTACTACTACTACTACTACTACTACTACTACTACTGCTACTGCTACTGCTACTGCTACTGCTACTGCTACTGCTACTGCTACTGCTACTGCTACTGCTACTGCTACTGCTACTGCTACTAAGCCCCTTGGCTCCGCCAGGTTGAGAAAGAGAGATGTTGTCGAAACAGCGGGACCCTGCCACCCTTAACAGTAACGGGTGCACTAGAAGGTCTGAGTGCCTCAACCTCAACACGGCTGTAGGCTGCATGATGGCTGTGCTTCTTGCCTGTTTGATTCCATCTGCCCCACCATGGCAACAGGGCTCAAACTTTGTGCCACAGTGTCCTAATTGGACAGCATCCAGCCCGTGTGCCTGGCCTAGCACTCAGTATCCGCAGTCCCTCTTATCCTTGTGGCCAGTTGCTAGGTGCACTCCAGAGCAGCTTTTTCCGAGCGCCGCCTTCTGTGCTCAAGCCTTGCTGTCGCATAGCCCGACCAGCCCAGGATGTCACCCAAGGAAGCACGGCGAGGCAACCCGTCGAGGTCGCGATCTGGAAGGCCAAAAGCCAAAGCAACAGTGGCTCCGGAGTCCTCTTCATCTGATAGCCCACCGAGCCCACCGAGCTCAGGCGAGGAGGCCACTGCTCCACCAGTTGCTACCACAAGTGCTCCAGCAGGGCCACCCCCCCCCAGTGCCGGTCAACAGGCCAAGAGGCAGCGTTGGATGTGCCACAAGTAAGCCCGCGGGGCCGCCCCCGCCGACTCCGGCATCCTGCACGTCTCTTCCGACAACACCGGTGCAGGCCTTTGCTGCCATGGCTCCAGGGCTTACCAGCAGGTGCTCCACCAAGCACAGGGCCTATCACTCTTGCAATGGGGGCTGTTCCCACGCTCCCATCGCCTACTACGACCTTGCTGCCTCCTCCGACTACACACCCAGCAACGAGTGCCAATGCAGCGGAGGGAGTTTCGGGTACACCGGCTGGACACGTGCAGCAGCAGCCTGCCACCATCACGACCAAAGTGGCGGGCTGGACTTTCACGCTCACGGTTAGGCCACCGAGTTGAGCCACAAGACACCAGGTCTTATGGTGGCCAGGCACGAGCTTTCTGCAGAGATAGCACCACAGGTGCAAAGGACAGCTGTCAGTTCTCTGCCGTCTCTTCCTGTATGCAGACTTGCCGTTTTGTGCCCAGCAGCCTCTCGAGTTGGACTCACAAAAGACGTGCTGTCTTTGTCAGCGTGCTAGTACTGACACCTCCTTGGAGCCAACTGTCACTGCTAGCTTGGACTATCCTCCATGCTGACTGTAATGCCCAGGCCGTCCTCATGGCAGACCTCGATGACCTCGCGAAGGCTCCAGGTCAGCGGCGCCCTCCATCTGCACTTGGAGCACCCATGCCTAACGATGCTCGCCACAGGTATCAGGTCCCTCGAGACGCCCACTTCGGTGTCCTTCCTGCCCATCACGGGGCTTGGATCTCAGTCTTACTGCTGCAACCCGTGATCAGCCAACATGAGACTCTGCCGTGCTCTTGTATGCATCTTGCAGCCTCACCATGTGGATACCGCGTGTGCCTGCAGCTCTCCACAAACCAAGCCTCATTGAAGACTCTGGAAGAGTATGTGGTACCCCAGCAGCCTGCCACAACTTCTGCCCGCTTTGCATCCCTTAGGGCTGGGAGACCTCTTGCAGAATACTCGCAGGTATCTACTCCACAACTTCTTAAGTCAAAGGACTACTCTGTGTTAGTGTGCCCCACCTGTGCCCTTCGAGGGATCATGGAGCCACACTGGCAGGCAGCACTCGTCCCGCTTACAGTGGGGACCGAAGTAGAGGTGATCGACGGTCACAGACGTCACCTTGTCGGCCGCCGAGCGATTGTGCTCCCTACCTTGGAGTGTGATCGCAACACCACACGGAATGTGCGGATGATACAAGGCCCTCGAGATGAACAACGTCGTATTCTTACGATCGACAAGGAGCACCTCGCTCCCCGACTGGGGCTGGAAGCCACACAAGCTTCCATGTGTGATGGAATGGAGCCGAGTTTGAGGTGGAGATGTGCTCCCCCACCATTAACCATCTACAGCGCACGTTACCTTCTTGGCTACCAGGCCCTGGAGACCATGCTGCCTCCGGCGGCACCCAAACGGAGTCCAGCTGGCCACTATATCCATCCCCCGGTGGAAGATGCTTCGCTTGAGGCACCCTGGGAAAAACACGTTGACCCAGCTAGCGATCGGTCCTTCTACTACCACCCGGGGACAAAGCAGGTGACTTGGCGCAAACCACGGCCTGCCCTGGTCCTTCCGAGGGAAGAGGAGAGTGGGCCCACCAAGCCCAGGCGAGGCCGGACTGCGATACCACAGCCTCGCCCTCCTAGTCCACCTCCTCCCAAGAGGGTGAGAACGCATCCCACCATTGATGCTCGGCAGAGAACTACGAGCTCTGAGTGCAGCTTCTGCTGCAGCCACAGGGGCGCCTACTACAGAGAGGAAGCCTGCTCCAGCCTTTGATCCTCAATCCTCTGGTGGCCCTTCTGAGTGGAACCTGGCAGATCATGCTTTACCTGCCACTCCAGATCGGGTACTGATCTGGGGAGCCAAAGCCAGGTCACAGCTACCACAACCGCCGAGTGCCCCTGCCTGTACTCTGGACGTGGAAGGATTTCTGCAGAGCTTCTTCAGGACACGGCCAGGCCCAGATGGCACATCCCTTGCCTCCTTACTTGGTGACCCAGTCCCGCAACCTGATGGTTGGTGGCGAATCCCGTGGACACCGCTGGAACCTTCGCACTGCGAGCTGCTGTGTCAGGATGGTTGGCTACGGGGCTGGCACGGATGCAAGATGGAGGCACTATACTCCATTATCTACCATGGCCAGCTTCTTCCGAGCACCGATGAGTCGAAGGGTGACAGGTTCCTGGCAGGCTGTCCAGGGGTGTATTTGCACCGAGACAGCCTGCAACACAAGGTGGAGAACTACATGAGATGGATACCACTATGTGGGGATGGTCTCTTTTGGGCTGCCAAGTGGGAGGTGGTGTATGCTCCCTCAAGGAGCAATAAGCATGGCAAGCGCACTGATCAGGTTATACAAAGTGCTGAATCGGTGGAGCTGGTGGCCCTCTGGCTCTCAGTGCGCTCCGAGAACATGCTGCCCGACGGAACTGCTGTGCAGGCCAAATGGACTCCAGCACGCGAGGCCAACCCATGCCTCACTGAGCACAAGCTGAGAAGCAGTGCTCTGTTACAGACTGTGGATTTTACGGCACTGTCTGCCTCTTCCAGGCCTTTGCCCAGCTCCAGTTCGAGGTCTGACCCGGCGATCGACGACAAAGGCCGACTCAAGCCGACGCCTAAAGCTCGCGGTCGCTTGTCGCACATCCCTTCTGAACTGGAGAAAGACCGGACGCCAGCACAAGCGAAGCTCACTATACAGTCGGGCAATCTGGTGCTTAAGTCGGCCACGGCAAATAGCTCGGAGACTCCCACTGCTTCGACCACGGTCTCGGCTGCTACCTCGGCCCTCCCGTCAGACTTACCTCAACGAGGACCCAAACGGGCTCGATCTGACGCCTCCTCTCCGAAACCACGGAAGATGCAGACAAGGCCCAAGCCGAGACGATCGATTTGGTTTGATGTCACGGACAATCCGGCTGACCAACCACTTTCGACCTCCTCAACTGCAGCCAAAGGCCGTGGCACTGGGACGATCAAGGCCGCCAAGCTCCAAGAACGTGTCCGTAGAAGGATGGCCAGGAAGATGGAGGAAATCTTCCAGGCCAATCGAGCCGCTGGACTTCACACGGACTCAGCTGCCTCATCCAGTGCTGCATACAAGGATCCAGCCTGCTGTTTATCATGTCCACGTCTGCATCGGCTTAGCCAGTCTTGCAAGCGGCCACACATGCCCCCTTCACATCGACCTGCCATGTTTCTTGTCTTCGCTCTTCTCAGGTCTAGCCTACTGGTGGCTCCGCCAGACCAAGATGACACAGGCGGGGATCGATTTACTGCGCACCCGGAGCTGCAGACCTCTGCACCTAGGTTCGGGCAGCCACCTAGGTGGGTTCCCTGCTCACACACCTTTGCTGCTCCCTCCAACAGCCACTGCCTGCAACATTTGTGGCTATCAGGCTTGTACCTTCCGACATGTCGGATGCCCGACGGCACGCCCGGATCCT